GTTTATAAAATGAAGTTTGGCTTCTACTGCTTCATGAATAACAAAGAATAATTGTTTAAATACAAAAACGGTATACATACACCAATTTGACTGTGTTCTGGTTGAATTGTTTTCTATAAAGTGCCTTGAGATGAAGCTTGTTGTGAATTGGGGCTATATAAATAAACAATATATAGTGTCTTTTTGTAGAAAAGTTTACACCTGAAAACAAGCTATATGTTTTTCTAACATTTATAAAGTTACCCCCAACCTTAAGCTCTTGTAATTGGATGTGTGTGTGTGTATGTATGTATGTATGTATGTATGTATGTATGTATGTATGTATGTATGTATGTATGTATGTATGTATGTATGTATGTATGTATGTATGTATGTATGTATGTATGTATGTATGTATGTATGTATGTATGTATGTATGTATGTATGTATGTATGTATGTATGTATGTATGTATGTATGTATGTATGTATGTATGTATGTATGTATGTATGTATGTATGTATGTATGTATGTATGTATGTATGTATGTATGTATGTATGTATGTATGTATGTATGTATGTATGTATGTATGTATGTATGTATGTATGTATGTATGTATGTATGTATGTATGTATGTATGTATGTATGTATGTATGTATGTATGTATGTATGTATGTATGTATGTATGTATGTATGTATGTATGTATGTATGTATGTATGTATGTATGTATGTATGTATGTATGTATGTATGTATGTATGTATGTATGTATGTATGTATGTATGTATGTATGTATGTATGTATGTATGTATGTATGTATGTATGTATGTATGTATGTATGTATGTATGTATGTATGTATGTATGTATGTATGTATGTATGTATGTATGTATGTATGTATGTATGTATGTATGTATGTATGTATGTATGTATGTATGTATGTATGTATGTATGTATGTATGTATGTATGTATGTATGTATGTATGTATGTATGTATGTATGTATGTATGTATGTATGTATGTATGTATGTATGTATGTATGTATGTATGTATGTATGTATGTATGTATGTATGTATGTATGTATGTATGTATGTATGTATGTATGTATGTATGTATGTATGTTGTATGTATGTATGTATGTATGTATGTATGTATGTATGTAATGTATGTATATGATATTATGTGTATTTTAGATGTATGTTATGTATAAAAATGTATGTATGTAGTATGTTATGTTGTAAGTATGTATGTATGGTAGTATTAAAATTTTATGAATGTATGTAATGTATGTATGTATGTATGTATGTAATTAGTATTATGTTGTATGATTATGTATGTATTTATGTATGTAGTATTATGTATGTATGTATGTATGTATGTTTTGTATGTATGATGAAAGAATATGATTGTCATGAAATAAATTAAGAATGAAGTAATGAATAATTAATTTATAATTAATTCATAAAGACTGATAGCATACATAATAATAATGTCATACATGTAATTATTATAATAATATATAATATAATAATGATAATCATTACATAATAATGCAGTATAATGTATAAGTTTTAATAATTTAATTACATAAAAATTCATAATAAATAAGAATAAAATATTAATAATAATAATAATTACATACATGAAAAGAATAAATAATAATTAATAATTAATAATGTAATATCTAACAAATAATACTTAATTTAAATAATAATATAATTAAATATTAAATTAAATCATAATAATAATAATTAAAAATTAAGTAAATATAAGTAATAATACACTTAGATACAACATAACATACAAAACTTACAACATAAAATACATACATACTAATACATACATACAAAAATTTACATTCAGATTACATACTTTCCCACATACATACCATACAAAAATACATACATACATACATACATACATACATACATACATACATACATACATACCCAACATACATACATAACATACATACATACATACATACATACATACATACATCAACATACATACATACATACATACATCCCATACATACATACATAAAGACATACATACATACAACATACATACATCCCTACATACATACTTTAATACATACATACATACTACATACATAAATACATACAATAACATACATACAAACTTTACATCCCATACAACTCCCCATACAATACCTACAACATACATACATACATACATACATACATAACATACATAAACATACATATACACTACATACAACATTACATACATTACATACATACATACATACAACATACATACATAATACATACATACATACATACTACAATACATACATACATACATACATACATACATAAAACATACATACATACATACATACATCAATAAAAATACATACATACATACTATACATACATTACATACTCATACATACATACATACATACATACACATACATACATACATAACATACTTAAAATAACATACATACATACATACATACATACATACATACATACATACATACATACATACATACATACATACATAAAATCCCATACATACATACATACAACATCAACATACTAATACATCAACATACTACATAAAACTTTACATACATACTACAACATCCCAAATACATACATACCATACTACATACTACATCATACCAACAACATATTTTTACATACATACATACATCATTCATACATACAACATACTAAAAAAATACATCATACATACCATAACAATACATACATACATACAACATACATACATCATACATACATCATACATACATACTACATACAACATACATACTACATACATACAACATACATACAACATCATACATAAAAAACATACATACATACATACATACATACATACAACATCCCTACATACATACCCTACATTACATCAACATACATACATCATACAACATACATACATACAAACATACATTCTACATACAAACATACATACAAAACATACATACATACAACATACATCAAATACAACATACATACATACATACATACATACATACATACATACAACATACTACAAAAACCCCATACAAATACAACATACTACATACATTACATACTAACATACATACATACATACATACTACTACATACATAAATACAACATACATACATACAAAACATCATACTTACAACAAAACAACAAAACAAAAAAAACCAACAACAAATTCTTCCAAAATAAAACCCCCCCCATTCCCTCCCCACCCAAAACTTCCCAGACCCCCACCAACCCAGATATCACCCAACAATCCCTCACCACCCACACTAAAAAACCACACACACCCAAACCCCCCCCGATCTAACCCCCCCCCGCAGCCCCCGAAACCCACCAAACACCCCCCAAACAAGCAATATAGGCTCACAATAGACCGTACCAATTTAAAAACATGCTCAATACGAGATAAATGAGCTAGGGCTCGCAATCCCAACAATGAACTTGGTGGCTAAATTGGGGAAAAACAAAGCTTCCAATGAAGGATAACAAGTCTAAAATGGAACACATTTACCAGGGGGAAATTTCAATGCATTCTGAGCAATTATTTGTAAATTTAATGGGTTTTGAGAGGTTAAGAGTTAATGACGTTAAGTGAATTAAACACTTCCTACATATTGCAATATCAGTTCAGACATTTTTCACCATTTCAACCAAGGTCTGGAAATGAAATCAAATTCTAAACCTCTAAATAAAACTAATTGATTATAAAGATTTAAGAACCCTGGAAACGGAACACTAACACTCCAGCCCACTCAGCAGCAGTAATGTCACTACTGAGGCTGAAGCTTTTTGAACATCACCTTAGACGATAAAAGTAAAAATAAATCAAAATTGTTCCCAAAGAATCTCTATTTGGTGCGGTCACCATTATTTTTCAGCACTGTGCCACAGAGCCTGAAGTTCACTAGAGCTTCCCAGGTTGCCTCAACAACTTCTTCCACAAAGTCCTCCTCCAGCTGCATGCTCGACGACCAGCAGTAAAGGGATTGTGACCCATTTATGGAGATAAATTACTCGATATCAACCCGCCCTATGCTAACTCCTTTCCATTGTATTAAAATGATCTCTTTATTCTTATCCCCTGAAAAGATATGAGGAAATATTTACAAAACATATTTTAAGAATGTGAAAAAAACATGGATCCATATTGATTCAATGATTAACTATTAAAATCTATGGGTCCTAAATGAAAATATTGATCCTCATGGCGATCTCTGCACTTCTGTGTCAGAATTTGAACAGGTGATCTGTTTGAAAGTTAAATTACCGGTAAGAAGAATGTTTTAAATCCAAAAGCCTCAGTTATAGATGCTAAATACTGTAGATGGACATATGATTTCTCATTGTGAGAGCAGGAATCGAGTTGTTTGGACATCCGGATAAATTGGTACTCCGTGGCAACTAGGGCAGTTGTTTAGTAAAGACTAAACATCTTTCCTTCTATTTATCCATTTTCAATTGTGAGCAGCAACAAAGCTGTTCGCTGTACTGCATTCAGCCTCTCCGTTATCTGTTGAAAGTCTCTCTTTCAGTGTCAGTAAACAACAGAAATATCTAAACATGTAGAAAGTAGTTTGTCTATTTTGCCTCTGACATCTTACTGGCTAAAACTGGCTAACAATGAGTCCTTCACATTCACTCACACCAGAAAGTGTTGCTGTGTGCGACCTGTTTGTCCACTCTGTTGCTGAACCTAAAATTGCAGCCATCCCATCACCAGTTTCTTGGTGTATCTCTATTGCAAACTTAACACCTCTCTATTAACCCTTATATTGACGATGATGATTAATATTTTCATATGGATCCATGTACTTTAATAGTTAATAATTGAATCAATATGGATCCATGTGTTTTTCTCATTCCTAAAATATTTCTTTATCTAAAAGTGAGCAATGATTCGTAATATTACATCGTGTCTTTTCAGGGGATAATGTTTATGAATGTTAATAAAGTGATATGAGTGTAAGTCTGTGATGTGTCCCGCTAGGACGGCTCTGGATCCTTGAAGAGAAGTGGCTCCTTCAGTAAACTACGAGCGTCGCTCCGTCGAAGCAGCGAGAAACTGGTCCGGAAGCTAAAGGGCGGCAGCTCGTCACGAGACAATGAGCACAAAAATCCTGGGTAACTATCAGCAAATCTAGAGTCCTGCATTAACTGGTAGCTCCTCTGTTTGCACTGGAAGCCTGGAGGAAAAAGCTGGCTGGTGTTTCAACCAAAAGAAGTGAACCACTCTACTTTGCTGATGTAACTGAAGCTGTTTGCACAACTAATGCTTGAAGGGGCTCTTTTGTCCCATATGCAACTTCTTTACTGATGGGCCATTAGAATTAAATCTGAGGCGCAAACACCGACTTCTGAAAACTGCTTTGGTTTTATTAAAACGTTGGATTTTCAGGTGTGATGATCAGATTAAGTCTTGGAAGTATTGGTAACTCATAGGATTTTACTCATGGAAATGTTTTCAGTATTGTGGACGCTATGCAACTAAAGACAAATATATTTTAATTTTGGGTCATTTTCTGACATAAACGACAAAAAACCTCTGAAAGTTTCTCCAGAAAGTTATTTTAATATAGGAGAATATATATTAACAAAAAATGTTTTAAGAAACAAAAGAAAAATTTTTATATTTGTCAAATGTTTAAAAGAAAGTTTCCAAATAATCTTTAGAATTTATTAGTATTTCCTATTCTCTTTGTTAAATGTTTGAATTACTGTCTTTAAGCACTTTCACTGACCCACACGCAGCTCCTAAAGTTCGATACTGTGTCATTTTTTACCTGTTGTACAGTTTCGAAGTGCACTGATCGAACTTTAAGGGCTCCGTAAACCAAACCTGAACATATTTACAGAGGGAAACCAAAGATGGAAGTACTCTACTAAAGTGGTGTACCGGGCCATATAAAAAGGAGAAAAGCTACTAATATCTGCCTGTGATTTCCATCACACTAGGGGTGATGGAAATCATTTCCCACTAATCCCTCCATCTATTTACAACTATTTGTGGCTGAACTGTAACTTAAAACAGTCTACCTTTTTTAAAGTTTGTTTTTTAAAGCTGCATGGCTGTCCTTTGCAGAATGAAATTGTCTTGTTTTTTGTTTTTGTTTTTTTTCTATGAATAAATTTTATTTCTTCTGAATGTTGTTGTGCATGCCTCCTCTTCATTCTTACTGGTGTCTTGTGTTCCTTGGTGCTGCTCTTCACTGTGTCTCGTGACTGTAATGGAAAGGATGTTGGATGACTTTATCATCTTAATGAATGTAAAACAAAATATTTTCCGTTGCATATTTCATGTGCTGAGGCATCCAACATTCACACCTCCATGGTGTCAAAGTAAAAACATCTTGTTACCTGCTGACATGTCTAAAGAGGTCTTAGGCTGTATAGCTCCTTTTAAATAGCTTTTTTGGTTCTTTTGTGCTTCTTCTAAATTCACTTTCAAACAGAGCATATCCTGGTAGCACTTATCTGAATACTTCTAACTGAACTGACAGCCACCAAGGCGGCTCAGATTGAGGTTCAGATAATTCATCCTCATCAGCCGGTTTCCCTGTTTCTTTATCTTTGACTAATATTTAAAAGGAAGCAAGGAAGATTCTGATTGGTTTATATCAGTTAAAGAGTTCATACTTTATTCAACTTTAGCTGCTCTGACTAAAATGAGACAGAAAAGGTAAACATGGTCAAAAATAAAATGCTTTTTTTTGTTGTTTTAAATGTATATTTCACATCAATTATGTGTACCAAACTGCATTAAATAAACATATCCACGTCAAAGGCTGTTAATACGTAACATGTTACATATTTCAGGCTGTTGAAGTATACGGGATAGAAAATAGATTTAAAATCAACCCTAGCAACCTTTGGAGTCACACTGCTAAAAATGTGCTGCTTGAAATACCTCAAATGTTTAATATATGTACAAATGTTCTGAGGTTGGAAGAAAAAGAATCTGTCAATATATTAGCAAAATTAGCTTGACTCAAATTCAAAATAAATCTCTTAATTTAGTAAAGTTTATGTAACATATCAGAAGATTCCCAGTCATCCAGGTAATGGTCAAGCTTGAAAGCGTTCGGTCAGGGGGGAACTGGAGGTGAAGTTTTCTAGAAGATGTTTTGACTCTCATCCAGGAGACTTCTTCAGTTCCAACTAGTGGGTGGGAGCAGAAATTAATACACTGCAGGTGTAACTATAGCCCCATTTAGACTACATTTTTGAAACCGTGCCGAGATCGGTCCAAACAGATATAACTGGTGAGCGTAAACGGCACGCAAAACTGAACCAGACTGTGCCGGACACAACCGAACAGAGCTAAACTGGTACTAGTTCATCAGTAGGGCTTGGCACGCTTCAGTTCTGGCTTGGTTCTCTGATAACACAGAGCGTGAGCAGACCGCATCATCTCCTTACAGTCAGCATCTGTAATCATGCTATTTCAGACATTCATAAAAATACTAGCTTTCCAACCACACTACACGATTTCCAGTTTGAAGACAACAACGTCCATATTCTGGCCAAGCAAGAAAAGTTTGAGCGAGGGGAAGGAAGCCATCTTTAACTTCAAAAAAATAAAAATCTCAACAGAGGAGGTGGTCTTAAACATAACCTTTTTACCCACCTACGAGGCACTTTTGGAACATTACCCAGAAGATTCACCTCCAACCCGACCTCACCTGACTCGTACTTCAATGACAAGGAAGTTAACAACCCATCAGAACCCCCTAACAACCATTAACACCCCCAATGTGACCTCCTTGGCCAATCCATTGGGAGGGATCTTCGCCTCCTTTTGTCCCCCTTAATTCATTGTTGGACCTACAGTATATTAATCTCAGTGCTGCCCATAATTAGAACTGAAGAAGCCTGTTGGATGAGAGGAGAAACATCATCTAGAAAACTTCATGTTTATGTGACCTTTATTTAATTTGAAGAAAAATCAAGATTTTATCCTTTAATTTTGATTGATTAATTCTACTAAACTGATCTGTGATGTATGTTACTAGAATGAGCTTCATTGTTTTGGGTTAAACAACTTTTTTAAAGTACATGTCTCCTTTTTAGATAGGAAGCAAAAACTCCATGAACATTTTTTTTTGTTTGTTTTGGCCTGCTTAAAAAAATATTATTTGCAGTGTAAGATGGATGTTTTCAGCTGTGGCGCTTCACATAAACCAAACTTTATGCTTTACTTTGTGACTTAGGATGCATTAAACATGTAGTGTAAATTTGTTAGTGCTCAGCTTCATCAAATGTGTTAAACTTTTAAACATCTAACAGCACAGATCTGGCTGAGCGTTTGGGTCTGCCAGATTCAGCTCACTCCGATGGTGAGTCGCTGAGCGCTACACCATCAGACAACTTAAAATGTCTTGTTTCACATGTAAATGTCTTTAAACAAACCAGCAGCCTGAAATGCCAGACTGTTTAACTTTCCATTAATCTAACAAATTCTTTGAACTAGATTTGTTTTAGGAGGTGGAACTAACCTTGGTTATGTTGCAGAGTACAAATGATTCAACACATTCATGTAAAACTAACCCTTTTAGTCATTATCACTAACCCCCATGTAACTCCACTGAGTCTAAACACCATGCCTGACTCTCTGACCCCTCACCTCTGACCCCTCACCCTGCCTTTCTGCATGTGGGAGCAGCATGAAGCGAGCCAGCTCTCTGGGTGTTCTTAACTTGTTGGACAAGCCTGCCAGAGACCAATACCAAGTAAGGATCCTGAATGTCAAAACATTTATACAACTGTTTGCAGTAAGTCCTCCGATTTGTTTTAATCTGCTGTTTAGCAGAAAGTGTTTTGCAAAGAATTCCACACCCCTCTGAGTAAATGTTCTTTTTGTTTCCATTACATTTTAATGTATTTTACTAGATTTTATGTATAGTGATGCACCAAAGGCTGCAGAAATGTGAACAGAAATGGTAGATCATATGTGGTTTTCACTTTAAAAAAAAAATATGTATCTGAGAAATTCTTCCACCCCCTTTATATAAAAAAAAAATCTTCATGTAAAGACTTTTGTTATAGAACAAAAATAGGGAAGAAACAGGATCACAAACACAGCAGAGAGACGAGGGAGAAAGGTATGACGATGATGCTCACTTTAAAAAAAAATCTCACAAAGTACCGTTTAACCAGGGTTTCTATGGGTCATTAAAATAATTAAAGGTCATTAAAGAATTTTTTAATTAAGGCCTTAATTGGCATTAAAGTTCATTACCGGTAAATGCAATTATAGCTGTATTTAAAATGCTTTATTAAAAAAAAAATCGTTAAAAACAATTTCGTCAGATATAACTGGTTATGCATGTTTGCACAGAACTGCTTACAGTTGATCGTAAAGCCGTATGTTCAGAAAACAAGCTCAAGGCAGAGAAAAAACTGTATGGAGTATGGGAACAAAAGTGGCTGGAAAACAAGGAATCCGAGGAAATTTCTGCAGCCTGTCAACGGTAAAGATGAGGAAGAATTTTGCCGTGTTTTATATTTATATATATATATATATATATATATATACATGAGTCTTGTTGATAGCACTATGTTTATTGAAAAGCATTAAATTAGAGTTACTCATTCCTGTATAAAACCCGTTTAACCTGTTGTCTGAAAATGATTGAAATACAGAACAGCTGCCAGGGAGCCCTAACAGGGATCAACACAGCAGTGAAGAAGTACATTGTAATTCTGGAGTAGCTTCAAAGATCCATAGCTCAGGTGGTAGAAGTAGAATACAGCAGCCTAGAATAATCCTACATCTGTCCATGATTAGAAAAGAAATAGTTTAATTCTGCACAGATAAGGCCTTAATGGAAGAGTCACAAGCCACTCCAGAGAAGGGGAACAGAGCATTTAGGCTAAAATATCAGTGTGTAGATGTGTGAAGTTGGTTTTAATCCAGGGGAGCTGTAAATATGTATATATGATACTCACAAAAAGTTAGATATATTCAGTTTTTTAATGAAATTTCAGAATGAACCTAAAATGCTCTATAACCTTTACTGGGGAACCCGATGACCTTTGTTTAATATTTAAATGTCCAACTTTTCGACCTATATTTTACACAACTAACTGTTCTTTAACGAGACGCTTAATGGAAAAATTTACTTCAGGTGTTTAAACATGGGTTCTCACCTGGTCCTCAAGTACCACTGCTTTGTGCGTTTTAGATGCTTCTCTGTTGCAGCACACCTGCTCGAATGATTGCATGAGCTAAGCAGCCATCAAATACTGCAGACACAAAGGAGATTTTAAATGATAGAATTATAAAATTTTAGATACAAAAACATTTCATTTGAGATTTTTAGGATCTTAAACTATTTTCACAGTTTTAGAAATAGAAATAAACTCTCTGCATTTAACCCATCCCCTTGGTGATGCCAGTGGGCTGTCACTGTGCAGTGAGCAGTTAAGGGTCTTGTTCAGAGACCCAAATTACAGGTTTTGGGGATCAAACCGGGTATGCAACCTTCTCAGAGCACTGCTCTAACCGCTAGGCCAACTCTTCCCAGTTTTACAAGGGTTTATGCCCATAGGGTAATCTCCAATTAAATATTCTATCCTTTAATCCGTGTAATGTAAACGAGTAGCTTCCACCAAGGTCAACTTGCACCCTTTGCTCCCCCTCTTCAGTAGCTTTGAATATAAGAGAATATAAATAAAGTTCCTCCGTATGTCTCTCTTGCTTATGTGAAAGATGTGTGTAATTATTATTTTAAACAGCAAAGAAAAGGATAGATATGAAATCCGCCCACTGACACTGATCTATTCAATTCTCCCTTTGTGTCCTCCAGGAACGAAATCATCGTTTAAGAAAGCATCACGACCTGAGTGCCAGCCAAACCAATCTGGCGCATTGAAGGAAGTAAACAATCAACTCTGCCTTTGCTGTAGAAAAGCTTAATCTGTTCACCCTACTTCAGCAGCATAACTCCAATTGCTCACTGGACAGCCTCTAAACTGCATGATGAAAGAGCTCTGGGATGGAAGCTGGGATTCCTCTGACTACGTAATGAGGAGGAGGAGTACTGTGGTTTGCTGTGTGTTTGTTTCTGTGAAAAACCCCTTATTTTCCTTTAGACCAATTCCTGGTTTTAGTGACCATGATTTCTTCCATTATGAAGACTGTATGGAGTGCTGCTGTTAGCTTTAAGGTAGAAAAACGTTACTTTACTAAACCAAAGTTCAAAATGAAATCACATCATTCTAAGTGGAAGCCCCAGAAAAAGGAGTCCTTCTCTTTCCTTTGTTTTGAAAGGCTGTAAAAACAATGAGCCGCATGGAATATGGAGGAGTGGTGAAGCTAATTTGACTACATCTTTAGTCAAGCGGAATGCATATATATATATATATATATATATAAAAAAAAAGGCTTTCTTATTCCTACGTAAGAGAAACAAAACCCCTTCTGATTAAGCCTTTGGAGAAAGAAGTGAGTAGCAGAAGCCCGTATCCCGCCTTCTTTTTAAAACAGGATAAACATTACTTCCTTCAAAATTATATTTGGCTTTTTTTTGTCTCAACTGAAAAATATTTGTAAATAATAACTTGTTTTAGTCTTTTTTTTTAGTTAAATAATTCCTTTATCAAGTTGGCAATGGATCCATAAACAGCAAAAGTTTAAATATTTTCAACCTAACCAAACTGCACCAGAGTCATTGCTTATAAACCACATCAGTCGCCACGAACGGATTAACAAGCCAAGTTTATTTATGTTAGCATTTTTAGAAACGATATGATTCAAAGGTCTATACATAAAAATTTATCTTTTTTTAAAAACACGCAAAAAAGTAGGTTAGAAACTACAAACTTAAATGGATCATGTTAACAATTTAAATATTGCAGTCAAAGACGGCTATTAAAAAATTATCTTTTCTTGGTTTTAAGTAACTGTTTAAACACTTTCACTGTTTCTGAGAGTTTGTTCCAGATAAGTGGAGCATAAGAACTAAAAGTTCTGTTTTGCTCTGGTTCTGAGTCTGCATAGTAAATTCAGAAAATCTGAGTGGCCCATGCACAACATATCTGTAATAATCCCTTTTATAAGGACTTTAGTACTAAAGGAATGTTCTCCACTTAGTTTTAGTGAAGACCCTGGCAGCAGCATTCTGTATGATCAACCTTTTAGGCAGACCTATGAAGCCACTGTTCCAGTTATCAATTCGACCAAAGATAAAACCTTAAAAGAGAAGTCCAATCAGCAAGGAATAACACGTGTATCATTATCTATACCTAAAACTAATACGTTTGCGGTGATTTACCGGTAATGAATTTAGGGTTAATCATTAAAAAAATAAAAACAATAATTTTCGTCACAATCACTGAGTCAGGAAATGGGCATTTTTGCCCAAATATAGTAACACCTCACTCCTGACATCTTCCGGCAGTGGCGTCACGGTGCGGTAAGCGTGGGGCCATTCTCCCCGCTTTACAAGCAAAATCAATGGGAACTACTGGACACATCTGCAATAAGCAATTATTTTAGATTCCGTGAGGAGTTCACCCTTGAAATTTGCGAGAGGTATAGTTAAACTGACAATTCCCACGTGCATGGCAGTTGGATGTTGTTATACATTGTGTAAAAGTAAACAGGTGAAAAAAAAATGTATTTCACCTTTCCGATTCCTGATCCTCCACGGACGGGTTTGTCGTTGGATTGCCAACTTGAAGGGGGAGGATTTGCCATCGAACTTCTGGCTAGAGAAAAAAACACGTAATATGTAGCCAACATTTTAAAGAAGAATGTTTTCAAGATGACTTGGATAATAGCGCTTTGTGACAAACACCAGATACAGCACTGGGACTTGATCAACAGCCGATACCGCACAGTGACATCACAAACCAGTAGGTGGCAATAGTGTTATTTGACAAACATGGATGCTTCCAGTAAAGCACATTCAAATGAAAATTACTCTTAATGAAAAACACTTTATAAAACAGTATGTAATAATTTCCTATTTAAAGTACTTTCAGAAGTTTGAATTCTGAATATGACTGGACTTTCCTTTATATCCTGTTTTTTTTAGGTGATAGAAAGCTGACTTTGTTATTGTCCTCATGTGTCATTGAATGTTCAGGTCTGGGTCAACCACTCTTCCCAGATTTTGAGGCTGAACGGTAGTTTCTAGCAGGATTAACTGAACTTGTCTGCTAACTTTCAAACAACTTTTTTTGGTTAAAAAAGTATCACTTCAGTTAAGATTTTATTTAGCAGAAGAAAATGCTGAGACCTCCATGCATTGATTTCTTTAATGTGATGACCCAGAGTTTATAGCCACATGGTGACATCATAATGTACAGCTGTGTGTTGCCTGCCGAGTTGGGGTAACTGAGGATGTTACAATCTGGGTTAGGGGGAGTATGTAGGTTTTGAATAGCAAGGGCCCCCTGATGGAACGTTTGGGACTGCCGCTTGTGCTTCTCTGGTGTAAAGTTACTTTCTGACACAGAGAAATCACTGACCTTACAGCAGGACTCTGACCAGCCGAGGGCTGTACCAGAAACGTTGATCCATTTTTCCAACCAGTCTATTAGAAGAGAGTTATCAACCATGAAAGAATCAGAATTCTGATCTAAGATCCGATAATACCAGCAATGCGGTTCTTCCACTTTCTCTATTTATACATATATCACTAAATACCCTGCCAAGGGTAGCCTCTGTACTGTGGTGATCAATATATTTTTTCAATTATTCTTTTTATCAGCTAAAGTCATCAAAAGTCGGGACTATTCTCTGTTTTACCATAAAAAATATGCAATAGGAAAAAAAACATAAATCAGATACGAACAAGGCATTTATGCCTGTGCTTTCTAATCATGAGCAAATACCCACAAAGCAAAAGAAAACATTTTTTCCCAGCGTTTTATTGTCATTACACTGTCACAAGTAAAGAGCAACGAAACTAACTCGCTGCATTTAACCCATCCCCTTGCAGAGCAGTGGGCTGCCATTGTGCGGCGCCCTGATCCAAACATGGATCTGGTCTCTCATCCAGCAGAGGAGATTTTTCTTACAATTGTTTTACATGTCAAAGAACTGCTGGAAAGAAAAAAATAAATCTGTAATGAACACAAAAAAGGTGTAATGACAAATTTGACAAAATACCTACATTAGTTTAACATTTATATATCATCTAAAAAATGTATATTATATGTTGGTTAGTGCAGTTGTCCACTCCTACTAAATGTTTGAGCAGCACATTTAAAAGCAGCCTCACTGCTGATAAACTGAATGCACAGAGAGAGGTTTCAGGTCTACTTTCTTGTCTAAATATAATAGCATATTAAGGATTGCAGGGGTATAACTGTGTCCATTAATCCTCTCCATTCTCTGCTGCTGCTGGTGATACATTGCAGGACACATTACTACACAGAACCCCTCCCGTTCTCTAAGGGTAAAGACCCACCTCCAGACCACCTCCAAAGTCTCCCTCATAAAATATCTCCATTAGATGATACAGTAGAAGGCATTCAAAATGTTCCCACTTTCCTTGATGGGTTCTTTGCTGGTTCCCTACAATTCCTTTATAATTTTTGACCATAATTGATTTATGGACATTAAGATCTAAAAAGAAGATTCGTCTCCCTGTAATTCAGTAAAAGGGTGGAGTCAGAGTAAAAACATATACACTCCCTGGAGAAGGAGGGGCTCACTACAGTGGCTGGAAGTTTAAGGGGAATTTGGTGGGAGTTGCAGGGAAGTCTGCCGCTATTCGGCTTATATTTGACTGGAAAGGGACATTTTGAATGGCTGCTACTGTATCTAGTGAGAGCTACAGACTCATAGGTGCGATATGAGTTTTTGGAAGCACAAAAAAATTAACCAATGTTACCTTTAATCTGAAGGACTGAAGCTGAAACCTTACTGCCCTCTGCTTCCTCCTCAAATGCTCTGTTCTGTGTTTGAAGATTTATCATCCGATAAATGAAGTCCTGTGTTTACATTTTGGTTAATTCTATTTTATTTGTATTTATCTATGCACTGTTCTGGAAAAGTCTTTTTTTTTCATGTTTACGCAAAGAAGTCACGATTTTATCACGCTGTTAACCGAACCTGAATTTGCTGAAACATAACGGTTTTGGTTCATTTATGTAACTTTGAAAATCTCCATAGTCTTTAAAAAGTTGCAAGAGAATTGTCTCTCGTTTTAGCTGCTGGTTATAGACAAAACTTTACGTGAGTGAAGTGTTATTTTTGTTTAAGGCCTTCAAGGGGACTTTTAATTGTATGCTCAAAATAATCGGCTTGTATCCTGGTGCGTTGATTGTAGTATTTCATCTTTAAAGCAGCTGGAACCTCTGCTTTGAATAATTCAAGCTTCTATAAAATTCAGATTTTATTTGTATAGATTATTTTGAACCAAAGCTGTGAGTTTATCCTTTGATTAAACGTTCCAGTTGACTTGAACTTTTCTCTTTGTATTTTTTCTGTCAACTTTGTATCTCCTTTGGAAAAAAATATGGATTAAAAACAAACTGTGTTTGCTTGACTGAAGGCAGATCACTCAAGCAAACTCTTTGTGAGGTTTGATGCCTGTCCTACAGGATGTGGTTGTTCATAGTCCTACCTCAAAAAAATTAAAATATATATAACATCGTTTCAGCTTTTAGGGTTACACTAGTTAAAACTGTCCCAGATAATCCTTCCCTCTGGTATAGTTTATCTTCTCTGTGGCTGATACAGTACATATCTTAATACACCCCTAAACAAGAAGTCCTGCTATAGAGGACTACTGCTCGCCAAGGACGGGTCCAAACTGCAAAGAACAATTAGGGCTGCAAAGAGGTCATTGGGAACCAACTTTCCCTCCACCTACAACCTTAACAAGTCTAGGGCAGAGGCATAGCTATAAAATTTTAATAGGGGTGGCCAGGCATTAAACAATGTATACTGAGGGGTGGCCGAAAGCGGATAGGCGCCAGAACCTCAGGGTTAATCTACACTGGAACGAGCACATCCATACTTTCTAAATAAAGACAAACTATACTTTCCTACAGCCTTTGCTAACAAATAGACGCATATATTAAAACATCTATGCTGTCTAAATAAAAGGTATAATGGAAAAAATTTCTGGGGTGAACATCTTTTCCATTGTCACTACCTACCTTCTTTTATAAAAAATTGTTCTGCATAAAATCAATATTTACATGTACTAATATCTACATTAAATGGATGATTTTTAAGTTAATAACATAGTTATTTATCTATGATTTCACTGGAGACTCCTAGATGACTTGCATTACCCCATATAAAACAAAATGTAGCTTTGAAGAGAGCATGAATTCTGTAATTAATCAATTTTAATGTTAGTATTTTGATGTGCATAATTAACCACAGTGTTTTAATTGTCAAGTAATGTCAATGTCAAATTTATTCATATAGCACTTTAAAAACGGGTATAAAACTGCACCAAAGTGCTTTACAGGAAAGACAACAACACCAATTAACAAAACAGAATGTAAAACACTGCTTCAATTAAAAGCCGAAGAATAGAAAAAAATGTAAGAAGCGATTTAAAATGATCTAGGCTGTGGCCAGATTTAATTTGAAGAGGTAAACTGTTCCACAGAATTGAAGCAACAACAGAGAAGGCCCGATCTCCTTTCCTCTTAAGTCGAGTCCGAGGATCTGTCAGTATTAGTTGATTATTTGAACGTAGACTTCTTGACACAGACTGGAATTTTAAAAGGTCTCTAAGGTAAGGAGGAGCTAATCCATTTAAGACTTAAGTTAATAAAATAATCTTAAAATCTATTCAGTAAAAGACAGATAGCCAATGTAAAGAGGCAAGTATCGGCCTTATATGGTCACGCTTCCTGGTTCCTGTAAGAAGCCGAGCTACTGCGTTCTGGATCAATTGAAGTCACTGCATCTGTGATTTGTAATTGTTAATATATGAAAAATGTAAATTTTTAATAACTGGAACATTCCCCTGGAGAGTAGTACTGTTGCCACCATCTGTATTAGAGGGAAATAAATGGTAGGGTGGCCGCAGGGGTGGCCATGGCCCCCCCATCTAGCTCCGCCCCTAGTCTGGGGCCATCATAAGAGCATCCAGCATTTCTGCTAAAACATCTTGCACAGAGCCCTTTTTTAAAAAGTGTTATGATAAAATAAATGGGGGCCATTTGTTTACCTGGGCTGTATCTGTTGAACTAAACGAGCTTCTCACTGCCAGGATGGTCATCTAGATTCCAGAAGAAGTAATGTGTTTGCATAACTATCTGTCTTCCTTTTTTATCTATTCAAAAATCCAGACTTACATGTTTTTTTTTTTTAAAGCAAAGTACGGCTGTAATGAATCGTTGATTTATATTAGTGATGGAAAACCTATGTCGAAATTCCTTGTTTGTGCAAAGAAAAGTGGCATTTCAGATTTTGAATTTTTACTAAAACAATAACCAATGTTATTCCTCAAATTGCTCAAACTTTTATATATTTAAAGTAGATGTTTTGTTTTGTTGTCTGCCTTGTCTACTTGAACGTGAGTTGCTGCATTCCTTTGTGGAAACTGTATTGATTTTTTTCCTAAGTACATAAAAAAGTACAGCGGACACCAAACAACAAACACCCCCTTTTTTTTTATAGCGGTCACGTGACAGCACATCTATGCGCTGATTGGTTGAATTCTTCCGAGGGTGTGGTTTTCAGTGGAGTTTGTGATAGAAGAAGAAGACCGCAGAAAAGAGGGGAAACGATGGTTGTGAATAGGATGTGGACTAGCCGTTAAGGAGCTGGAGCAAGAGGAACGTTGGTCGTTTGGTGCATGGCGCGTGTTTTGAAGCTGCTCTGCTTGTGGAGAAATGTCCTGGGCCGTGAGTAGTGAGGAAACAGGAAGCGATTCTTGTGGGATGGAAGAGGGAAATAGTGACAATGAAGGTTGGAAGATAGCAGCATCAAAAAATGAGAAAAAGCGGAAAAAACAGAGATCAGTTAAAGGGGAATCTAGTTCAGAACAATCCAGTGATGATCAATCCATACATTCCACAGCACAACAAAATGAATTCAAAGTCATATTCAAAGTCGTTAATCAGGCAGACTCTTTTACAAACTGGAATCCGGTTCACTTAACAAAAACCATCAATAAACTTGTTGGAGAAGTCAGAGGTGCCAGAATTCTGTACAGTGGAGACCTGCTAATTAACTGCAGAGACAGCGCCCAGCAAGGCAAAGCAATACGTATTAACAAAATTGACGGGATAAGAGTTCAGTGCAGCCTAATGGAGAACAAAAAGATCAGCAGGGGAGTCATTGGAGGAGTTCCTCTGAAAATTTCTGAAAAAGAGATTCTGGAAAACATAAGCGGTGCAAAAGTAAAAGAAGTAAAACGGTTAAAAACAACAAGAAACGGAGAAAGATCTGACAGTTTATCTGTACTAATTAAATTCGAGGAAGAGCAATTACCAAGCAAAGTATTCATCGGTTACATCAGTTACAATGTCAAAATCTACAATCCACCACCATTGAGATGTTTCAAATGTCAAAAATTCGGACACATTGCAGCAGTTTGTAAAGGGAAACAGAGGTGTGGAAGGTGTGCAGGAGAACATGAATATGGTAAATGTGGAAAAGAAGCTAAAATAAAATGCTGTAATTGTGGTGGAGAACATACTGCTGCTTATCGCGGCTGTGAAGCAAGCAAAAGGTCTGAAGAAATAAAAAAAAATGAAATTTGAGCTTGGAATAACTTATGCTGAAGCTGCAAAAAGGATCCCATCTCAGTCAGAAAAACCCAAACCTACAGTTCAACACACGGCAAATTTCAAACCTCTAGAGAAATCTCCAAAAATTGATGAAGACTCACTAATTGTTAAAAAGACAAATTTTGTTCTTTTCATGGTGGAAGTGATTAATTGTACTGCTCAGACGACAAAAAAAACAGAAAAAATCAAAATAATAGTGAAGGCTGCAGAAAAATATCTGGATGTTAAAGATATGAACTGGGAGATGGTTGGAAGCATGATGGAAAGACCAATGGGACCATCAGAAACTGGCAGAGGTACGATGACCTAGAGTAAATTAAAATTATACGGGCAAATGTAATTTAGTATAATTTAGTATTATGTGGGTTTAAGTTACACAGGTTATTTTATTGTATTTTTTTTTTTTTTTTTTTTTTTTTTTTTTTTTTTTGGGGGGGGTGAATCGTTTCCTGTTTCCTTGCTTTACTCCATATCAGTTGGTGGCGGTAATGCACATTTCACAAGTTTGCCAACCGCCATAAAATCTCATAAGAAGAAGAAGAAGAAGAAGAGGGGAAACGATTAAAAGGAAAAATGTCTTCAGTTCCAGATGGAAAGAAGCTTGTCCGCAGCTCCAGCGGCCTCAGAATGGTTCCAGAAAACGGTGCCTTTAACAGCCCGTTCTCCCTGGACGAGCCTCAGTGGGTCCCGGATAAAGAGGTGAGACAGTTTTTGACGGCCAAATGCCATGTCAAGTGTTCACTCATGTATGGAAAGCTGTCCGTGATGATAAACGGGGCACTTCCGGTTAGTATTTTCAACATATTTTGAAGTTATTTGATAAGTAGAAAAAATAGTTTATTATCCCACATAGCTATAAATAGACTTACTGTTTAAGCTGCAACATGGTTGATGGTTTTGAAACAAATTGATAAATGAAATAATTGTGTAGTAAATATTACATTTTTAGAATGATCATTGGCGTAAAATTTGTTAGATTGGCATAGAAAGTAATAGCTACGTTGGATACATTTCTTCATTTATGTCTGTTATTAAGTCTTTACTTAAACAATGATTAAAACATGTGGGTGTTGAACCATTAGGATCAGTTGTATTAAAATGGGATCCAATCTTTCTCAGGGTCTTTGGTGGCGCAAGTGGCTTTTGAGCTAATTTTATATATGAAATGATGATATAAAACAATTTTTTGTGTTTTTGCTTTGTTTTGCCCCCTTGGTAAGTCTAGAACCGACGCTGGCTATGATTATTTGTGCCTCAATCGCAAGCAAAAGGTAGACTTTTTATGAGCGCGTTTCGCTCTAAGATATCCTGCTTTTATTTTGGTGGGGACACTCTGCCATATCCGTTTTTTTCTCCCGATTCGCTGCCTACGTGACGTCTTTCTGGACAACAGCAGTTGGCTCCAGAACTGGGCGTTGCGGGCTGCTATGGCTAGTCTGGTAACAGTAGAAGTTTGTCAGCCCAGCTTCAGCTAGCCGTTGACAGCTGGTCCACATTCACGAAGGAGCTTGTTAAAGTACAACTCTGAATGTGTATCACTCAACACATCGCTGAGAGCTAAAGGCTAACCAGCGGCTAGCTCCCATATAAACAAACGTCCGACTCTTTTGTCAACAGAAGCACAGACAGCCAAACACTATTTGCTGAAGTTCAGATTCCACATAAAGTTAAATTTCAACTTCAGTCTCTGTTTTGATGCGTCTGTTTGGTTGTATTTTCCCCAGGATGAGGGAAAAGAGAATAATTTTCAGATGAAAGGTGAAACTTTCACAGAACAGAAAAAAGCTAAAATATTGTGTTGATATTGTGTGACTAAAAGCCTGAGTTGCTGTTTGCAGAGAATCTGCTCTGCTCAGCATGTTGTGTAACATCCTGTTTTTCCTCCCTCTGTCATCCAGTGTCCAAGATGTATGCAATGCGACACCAAATTTGACTTCATCAGAAGAAAGGTTTGTTTAGTTTTTTTTTCTTTCTGCAAATATGTGCTTTATAGTGCACTTCTGGTGTCATCACCACTGAGACGCAACAGACTTGACTATGTTTCTTTTGGAATTTGCTTGGAATTATTTCCAGTTGTGAAAAAAAAAGAGTCAAAAGTATACATGTATTCTGGCCTCCTGAAGTCATACTTTAACACTTAATGCTGCATTGACAACTGTTTCTTAAGAAGAATGTCTAACAGTTTACCCACTTGTAGGAGACTGAAAATGTTAGATTCATTCTTTACAAAATGGCTCAAGCTTAGATGGGATAAAAGATGGTGTGTTCACAAAAAATGACACCTCTTGTCCATAAAGGCCTGATTGACTAATATTTGTCCTGTAAGCTTATTCCCCCACCTGAGCAATGCATCTATGCTACTCCTCCAGAAACACCAGGGGGACGGTTGTTTGCTTCTTAAGGGCAGATTAGACTTTGGGTCGCGAACCAGTTTTACTGGTACGATTCTGCACCGTTGGTCTGGAATTTCAAGGGATGCACAGCAGTTTCCCGCCAAAGCCCATGTTCTTATGTGCATTTGGTACGAATGATTCATTGGGGATAATACTTGCCAACTAGAAGCAAGCAGCAAATCTTGCCCCAAATTATGATTTAAACCTGTAGCTAAAATCAAAAGTTCCTCTGTTTACATCTATGGTTAAAACAACTTTTCCATATTTGTGCACATTGATTATGTTTTTGAACAATACTTTCAATAAAATGCCAACAGAATGCTCATAATACTAAGTGTGTCGTGTGTCTCAGCGCCACCAACCCCCCCCCCACCCCCCCTTTCAGTGTCCACCACATTAAATCAGTCGGCAAGTATTATCCCCAATGAATCATTCGTACAAAATGCACATAAGAACATGGGCTTTGGCGGGAAACTGCTGTACATCCCTTGAAATTCCAGACCAATGGTGCAGAAGCGTACCAGTAAAACTGGTTCGCACACCAAAGTCTAATCTGCCCTTAAGAAGCAAACAACCGTCCCCCTGGTGTTTCTGGAGGAGTAGCAGAGATGCATTGCTCAGGTGGGGGAATAAGCTTACAGGACAAATATTAGTCAATCAGGCCTTTATGGACAAGATTTGCTGCAGATGTTCAGAAAGCTCCAGACAGCAGCAAACCTTTTCAAAACAAACTGTGCTAAGAGCAGTGTTTCCAACTTAGCGCTTCTGTCGCTATATTTAGCTCCTTTTCAGACCCCTCTAGCGTTTTGATTTAAAAAAAAAACTGCTAGTTCCAAGTCTAGCAACTTTTTTCTGCCACTGGAGACTTTGGCGAAAACATATAAAAGCAGCGAACTCTGCTCTAGAGCAAGTAGATTGGTAACCCCGCCTCCTGCTCTCCTCTATCTTGTCTGCTGTCATGATTTATGCAGCTGTTAATATTAAGTGCGTCTTATCCCCCCCCTCCTTTAGTGTCCTCAACATTGGATCAGTCCATTTGCTGCACATGTTCAGAAAGGTCCAAACAAACAGCAGCAAACCATTTGAAAACAAACTGTGCAAAGAGCAGTGTTGCCAACTTAGTGCTTTTGTCAACTTTTCAAACACCTCTAACACTTTGATTTAAAAAAAGCGCCTATCGCCAAATCTAACAACTTTTATCTGCTACTGGAGACTTTGGCGACAACATATAAAAGCAGCGAACTCTGCTCTCCTCTATCTTGTCTGCTGTCATGATTCATGCAACTATTATTTCATCCAAATGAAAAATGGAGAACAGATAAACAGATCATTGCTTGTCTACAGTGAAAAGGACTGTGTTATTTACTTTTGCCGTCGCCTTTTTGGAAACACAGGAAGGAGCAATCAACTAAGTGAGCTTAGTGCTTGAAAAAAAATCTTTCATTCCTTTTGAGACAGCATGAAAAGTCAGCTGAGTACAAAACATAGAGAGGGACAAAACGTAGAACAAATAATGTCTAATGTATTAAAATGTCTGCATCTATGTAATGGGTCTGTTTTATGTGTTGGCCTCTCAATTCCAAGGGGGCCTGTCTTTGCCTAGGGCCCAAAATTTCATAAATCCTCCCCTGATCTGGATCATCACTAAAATTGAATGGATTGTTCCTTTACAAAAGGGACACCTAATAAAAATATAATTACAATCTGTCCTTAACTTTTTAAGTTATCCTGTAGACAGAGATATGGATAAATATACATGCATACAAACTGTCCTACATAAAAACCTCCTTGGCGGAGGTAAGTTTTCTGTACTACTATCTTTATGCTAGTTCCAGTATAAGTGGATGTCTAATTAATGCGTTTCTGTCGTGCAGCACCACTGCCGCCGCTGCGGTCGGTGTTTTTGTGATAAATGCTGCAGCAAGAAGGTGGCGCTGCCCCGGATGTGTTTTGTTGACCCAGTGAGGCAGTGTGCAGAGTGCAGCCTGGTCTCACAGAAGGAGGTGGAGTTCTACGACAAACAGCTCAAAGTGCTTCTGGCAGGTAAAACGGCTCTTGCTTATGAAGCTATTATTTATATGGGAGTTGTAGTATATCATGCATTTTAACTTTTTTTTTCTTCTTTTTTTCCAAAGATGGAAAATGATACATGTAGGGCTGAAAAAATTAATTGGATTGATCGCGATTAACCGATTATTTCAATAATCGTCAACTAATTTTGTAATCGATTAATTCTAAGTTCTAGCTGACAGAGCGACCCACTTAGAGCCGTGATTATACCAACATTGTTTTCACTTTTCAATACGCTCTATCCAGAAGTCCTCTAGTGGAAAAGTTTTAGTTTCACCTTGTTTACTTCTATAAAAAAATCTTCCTTAGGGAACCGTTTCTTTTCCGATTATTAATTAGAAAAATAATCAACTGGAAGAATAATTGTTAGTTGCATCCCTAGATACATGATTTATCCAGAGTACATTTTTAAAATGAACATTAGACAAACAAGTTGGAATTTCTATCAAACGTGGAAAGTATTTGCAATTTACAATTAATAATACAAAGTTAAATTTGACAAACTGCACCTCACTGTCATGCTTTCTGTTGCCTTTTCTGAGCTTCTGTCTTTACTTTTGACCTTCTGTGGGTAAAAAGTTATTGAGGTTTGATAGTTTCCTGATTCCGACTCAGCTTTGAAGTATAGAGCCTGCATTTTTTGTATAGTTTCCAAAAGCCTGATGCTAAGCCACCTTATCTATTTCCAATATCATTTAGTAACTTGTATTAAGTTAGTCCTGTTGGGCTACATGTCTGGGTCCCAGTTTGGACCAACCAGCTGTTGAGTTGAGCAGAAGCTGAAGTTGAAAGCAATCCCTCTTTTTTTCTTACTCTACCCAAATTTAGCTGTACATTCATACCCCTGGTAACCAAAACAGCCCATAGCATGATACTTCCACTGATATGTTGGTAATTCATTTATTGTTCTTGAGTTTTAAGCCTTACCTGGATTTCTCTAAATATGTTCATCTTGGGACCAAATAACTAAATAATTGTCTAGTTGTTTTTCCCTACATTTTTTTTTTTACAGTAATCTTTCCCTCTAGGACTGGTATTTTATTGGTTCTAAATGTGACACTTTAACCAGGAATTCATTCAAATTAGTCTTTGAATATTCATAAAAGTCCTAAAAACTTCACATACTTGAGCCTCGAGAAGTATTAAACTTTTCAATTATGAATTGTAACACTTTTGTTTTGGATTGGAAGCTTCATTAAGAAAGACTAAAGAATCGAAATGTGGTACTTTTTTACCTATGTAGTTATTTTTTTTACTTACAACTAAAGTGTTTTACATTTAACATGGACAGGTTATAGCCACCTGTGTCCCAGTGGGAAAGATTTTAAACTTATAGTGTCTATTTTTTTTTTTCCAGGAGGTACCTTTGTTGTCACTTTGGGAACATCAGACAAGTCAGAAACCATGACGTGCCGCCTCTCCAACAACCACAGGTAATCCAGCAGTGAAGGTACGGCTAAGACAAGGACTGGACATTTTACAATCAATGGTGGAAGTTAGAAAAATTAGGGTCTAAAAGAAATTTAGATCTATTAAATCCACTGACCTTCGATTTATGTTTCTCATCCATCTATGTTCGGGTTAGTTTTGGCCGTTAGAGGAGAGAATAAACTGAAGGTATGAAGTTTATTCTTCCAACAACTGCTGGTGTGTGTGACAGAACTTTATTGACAAAATTATCAAGTAAACAAGAAATAGTGTTCAAATGGTTCTACAAAAGGCAGTGATATATATAAAAGAGATTGAAATCTAAGTATAACTTAAAGCTTTGAATTTCTATATGTTTTAAAACAAGATGATTAAAAAAAGATTTTAAGTTTAGAGGAATTTCCCAACTTCCAATGTGCCTGGCAGTTTATTGCATATATTGCATATATATTTGCAATATAATCACAATTTAACATGATCTCATTGGGCAGAGGTGCTTAATGTGGGTCACGTTACATTTAATAAGATAACAAACCTCTCATGCAGCCCTCAAGGTGGGTTTACTGCCAAGCAGATGGAAACAGAAGGTTACACTTAGTGCAGATCCATGCATGTGAATAGAAGACGGCACTTTTTCACACAAAGGTTAGAGTAAAGTCCTACAACAACAGAAACAGAAATGGTCAGTATTATAGGCTGTTCCTGTGATTGCTTACTGGGGTTTAAGAGGAATTCATGTCGTTGTGTTAATGGAAAAGTCCGGTCAGTAAGGAATAATCAATGGATCATTATGTATACCTAAAACTAATACGTTCACAGTGATTTAATTAATTTAGCGTTAATCAGTAAAAAAATAAATAAGAATAATAATTTTTGTCGCAATCACTGAGTCTGTGACCGGCCATTTTGGCCCAAATATATTAACACCTCACTCCTGACATCTTCCAGCTGTGATGTCACAGTGCGGTAAGCCTAGCGCCATTCTCCTCGCTTTACAAGCAAAATCAATGGGAACTACTAGACACATCTGCAATCAACAACAATTATTGAAGATTTCCAGAGGACTTCACCATTAAAATTCACCAGAACTATAGTTAAACTGACATGACCCATGTGCATGGCAGATGGACGTTGGAATACATCGGGTAAAAGTGGAAAAAACAGTTATTTCACCTTTCTGATTCCTGATCCTCCACGGACGGGTTCGTCATTGGATTGCAAACTTGAAGAGGGAGGATTTGCCATCGAACTTCTGGCTAGAGAAAAAACACGTCATATGTAACCAACATTTGGAAGAAGAATGTTTTCAAGATGACTCGGATAATAGCGCATCGTGACAGACACCAGATACAGTACTGGGACTTGATCAACAGCCGATACCGCACCGTGACGTCAAAAACCAGTAGGTGGCAGTAGTGTTCTTTGACAAACATGGATGCCTCCAGTAAAGTACATAGAAATAAAAATTACTCTTAATAAAAAAAAAAAATCATTTATAGAAGTGTATGTAATAATTTCAGATTTAAAGTACTTTCAGAGGTTTGAATTCTGAATATGATCGGACGTTTCCATTAATGAACCCAACCGTTCCCAGGATCGTCTGTCGTGGATTTTCCCCCCCCCCTGAATGAGAAAGTGGACTAATGTTTGTCTTTCTTGGATCTTGTCGTCAGATATTTGTTCCTTGATGGTGAAAGCCACTTTGAGGTTGAGCTGTCCCGCATCTCAAGCATGCAGATTCTGACCGATGGAACAAGTCCAGGAGGTAAAAAAAAATTAATTAGAAAAGATGAATATTTAGGTCAAAGGTTTTCTTTTTAAAACAAAAGGCAGCTGTTGGAATAATTTTTGCTTCTTATTTTTCCTGCTTCTCTTCATAAAGTAACCCTTTGTTGTTTGAATGTTGTTGTAAAAGCTATTACCAAATATCTTAACTCTGAATCTTCTTCTCTGACTAACATTGCTGCTTTGACTCGGCTGATGGCTCCTTTCTACCTCTGGACTCAGAGGAAGACATTCACACTTACACCAGTCTGCTGGACAGTCACTGTATCTCTGAAGGTTGGCTTCAGCTCACTTCTTAAAGTTTCCATCAGTACTCTTTTGTTCAGAGATGTATCTGCATCTCATTTCCTGATTCTGTAGTTTGCATGAAAACAAATACGGTCTTATTCTATTCCATCATATCTCACATTCCAACAGACATTTCATTCCTTAATGGTACCGTATTTTCACGACTATAAGGCGCACTTAAACGTCTTTTTTCCCCCTCAAAATGTGCGGTGCGCCCTATGGTGCGGTGCGCCCTATGTGTGTTGTAACTGCGACTTTTGAGACCACCTCATTGAGGAGATGATGAAAGAGTGGCTGAATGTAAGGAGACCAGGTGTTTTTTTCCACTCATCACCATTAATATGTAACTCCATGCGTGCCCGTCTCACAGCTGATGTGAAAAACATGGGGAAACAAATTAACCCTGTGCTCGCTGTTCAACCGCTCGACATCGGTGTGAACCGGACCCAGCAGGTGCAGCAGAAGCAGCGAGGAATAACGTGTCTGCTGGCTCTGTTCTTCAAGCTTTTGCAAAAGCAGGCATTATTTCTGAGGAGCCACGCTGCACGGAAAGTGACTCTGACAGCGCAGAAGGGGAAACTGGCATGTCGGATTTAGCGCAGCTGTTTAATTCAGAAACAGAGGATGAGGACTTTGAGGGGTTTGATTAATACTCTGTAATAAATACATGAATAAAGCACAATCATACTCAGTTTTGCTCCCGCTCTATTTTTCTACCTGAAAACTTAATTCAACAGCAGCCTGTGGGCCGCGCGGCGCATCCGGACTCACCTCGGCAGGTGTTTTTTCATCTAAATAATCTAAATCTTTTTAAGTGAGAAAGTCCACCTGAAAATTTAATTATTGCAGTCAGCTCATCCAGATTATTATCCTGCCTATGTTTTAAGTTAATTTATGCGTCAATAAACGAAGAAGAAGGGGAAACTGGCATGTCGGATTTAGCGCAGCTGTTTAATTCCGAAACAGAGGATGAGGACTTTGAGGGGTTTGATTAATACTCTGTAATAAATACTTGAATAAAGCACAATCACACTCAGTTTTGCTCCCGCTCTATTTTTTCTACCTGAAAACTTAATTCAACAGCAGCCTGTGGGCCGCGCGGCGCATCCGGACTCACCTCGGCAGGTGTTTTTTCATCTAAATAATCTAAATCTTTTTAAGTGAGAAAGTCCACCTGAAAATTTAATTATTGCAGTCAGCTCATCCAGATTATTATCCTGCCTATGTTTTAAGTTAATTTATGCGTCAATAAACGAAGAAGAAGGGGAAACTGGCATGTCGGATTTAGCGCAGCTGTTTAATTCCGAAACAGAGGATGAGGACTTTGAGGGGTTTGATTAATACTCTGTAATAAATACTTGAATAAAGCACAATCACACTCAGTTTTGCTCCCGCTCTATTTTTTCTACCTGAAAACTTAATTCAACAGCAGCCTGTGGGCCGCGCGGCGCATCCGGACTCACCTCGGCAGGTGTTTTTTCATCTAAATAATCTAAATCTTTTTAAGTGAGAAAGTCCACCTGAAAATTTAATCATTGCAGTCAGTTCATCCAGATTATTATCCTGCCTATTTTTTAAGTTAATTTATGCGTCAATAAACTGTATCAGAGGAGTAATCACAGCCCTGTGTCATCAGCGATGTGTCTCTCACGGCAGGTTCCCAGGTTTTAATAATACTTTGTAATAAATACACCTTGCAGCTTTATTTGCTGTGATCAGTGGGAATAAAGTAGTTTTAATATGTTTTTAAGTGAGAAAATCCACCTGAGAGGACATGTACCTGTATATAAAAAACGCGCCCTATAGTCCGGTGCGCCTTATGTGTGTGTTAAATACAGAAATGGGACACATAACTGAGAGTGCGCCTTTTAGTCCGGTGCGCCTTATGGTCGTGAAAATACGGTATTTAAAAACTTACTAGTTTTACTGTTTTAGCTAATTGAGTTTGACCTAATTTTCATTAGTGACTAATGAAAAATAACGCATCACACAACTGGTGCAGATTTTTTGTTTTCTACAATCTATAGATTGATGTAGAACTGTAAATAAGTGGATTTCCCCTAGAGTAGATCGAACAAGTGAGATAATTTTCCAGTGAACTAAGATGATTTATGTTTAAATTAATAAAAACCAACTCTATTTTATTTAAGTGCAAAAATACTTATTGTATTGGCATATCATCTGATTTACCTCCTAAAATTAAAACCAAATACACTTATTTTAAGATATTTAAACTTATTTATTTATCAGTTTTTGCAGTTGAAATATGATTATTTTAAAAATGGATGTTTCAACCAATAGATACTTAATTTTGAAATATATTTGGACATTAATTACTAATGGAGCTACAGTTTAATCATGAGAAATGTGCCCATTAGTCTCCTAAGTTTTAAACCAATTCTACCTGCTTCATCTCTTCAGCCTTTTTAATGACTTTATTCAGTTTATTATCAAAATATATTATTCAATACTTATTAAGTGTAGCTAATGGTTAATGCTTTGTTCAGACTTAGTCATGTATTTATCAGTGCATGTTCCCTCTAAAGCCCCTGTCACACCATGACGATTTAGCCTGATGTTCCAAAATCTTGTAAAACGCTGGCATAAGATTAACTTTCTATGTATTTTTTCAATGTTGGGAGTACAGTATGCGTAGGGTATTCATTACGAGTCCAGAAATTATGTCAGACAACAGCCTAACTTATGCGTAACACAACAGCATAATGCCAATGAAGTGTCAAAAGCCAGTGTCCTGAGGGGGGCAGCAATGTGCCCAGAAGCGCCTGGCCTGAAAAGATTTTTTCTATCATGGTATTAACCTAGCTGCTGTTTACCGCCTGCCGAATAAAAAAAAAAAATATATCAATAAAAACAAAAAGACGGAGGGTTTGCAGTCGCAGCAGAGTCAGCGTCATTTATGCATAAGGAGGATCCATCACCCTCACCTTCTCACTTATCCTATGATGGAGATGAAGTCTGAAGGAAAACTGACGGTTTCCTCCTGTGAGCCCCTTTCATACCAAAATGCTTCCAATACGGCATTATACAGTAGCTGTAAGTTAGAAACATGTTTATCGGTTGTATGGAACACGTCCAATACATTAATATACGCTGGAGATAAGTTCTTGATAATTTACGCATAAGTTATGCACAAGTTACTCATAGGTTTTGAATAAGCTGGACACCACAACGTATGTTGTAACTTACACTTAAAGTATGTAAACGATCAGATAACTTACCTGTAACATGCCCCACATATGGCATACACTTGCACATGTTGATGAGCATGCTAAAAATTTCTCGACATACTTGCCATATATCAATGTGTGCCAGCATGATTCAGCGGCTCATAACATACACAAAACTGACCCTTAACTTTTCCAATGTATGCCAGCTTTTTTTGCCAGATCTTTCGTACGTCAGGCATGCGCTGTCTAAATCGTCAAGGTGTAACAGAGGCTTAAGATCATTGGTTACACCTATGGTGATGTTCCTGACGGTATTTGACCCACCCGGTTTATCATTTATTGTGTTTCAGTTGAGCCAGCAAATGAAGTCCACCTGTGTGCAATGTATGCGTCACATGATCTGTCAATGTAAACACGCCTTTTCCGAGAGTCCTTAGAGGTTGACACCACCGAGGATGAGGTGGTGAATGACCTCTCCAAAAGAGTCACAAATATAAAGATCTTTGATGTTCCTCCAGAGCTCCGTCATGTCAATCATCCATGGTAGCACAGGGTGCAGAAGGGACTACCTAAATGGCACTCTGTCTTATTTCAGACAAAGGTGGAGGCTTTCCTTGCAGCAGGGCAATGCACTTTTTATTCCTTTTATAACTAGCTAGGTGTTAACCTGATTAACAAACTTGACTGGACTCACAATACTGAGGCTCTGTATAAGAACGGTCAGAGCAGACTCTTCCTGCTGAGGAGACTGAAGTCTTTTGGAGTGCAGGGGGAGCTCCTAAAGACCTGCTATGACTCTGTTATGGCATCTTTTATGGAGCTGCCTGTTGGAGCAGTGGCTTATCTGAAACTTGATCAGGAAGCCCAGCTCTGTTATTGGATGCCCTCTGGATTCGGTGCAGGAGGATTGGAAACAAAAGGGTACTAACTAAGTTAACATCTCTGTTGGATAATGTTTCCCACCCCATGCATGAAGCTGTTGCAGAACTGGAAAGCAGTGACAGACTGCTGCACCCTAAATGCACCAAGGAGCGTTATTACAGATCCTTCCTCCCTGCAGCTGTAAGACTTTATAACCACCACTGTTCCCAACAAACTCAATAAGTTGTTACATTCATGCTGATTTTGCACAGTTTCTACCTTAGTCAATTAAATAACATGCTCCTGTCATTTTGCACATCTTTGATGTTGCTGCTATTTTCAAATATCCATTACTGTAAAAACATCCATAGCTGCATATTAGTTATTTATTGTCCAGGTGCACAGTATTTATATTATAAGACTTTACAGTACAGTATTTAATTTGTTTATTTTTAATTCTTCACTATTTTTGTTATTCGTATAAACGTTTCTAAGGTCCACATTGGTGTGGCCATTTTTTTCTATAATCTTTTTGCTGCTGTAAACACCAGAATTTCCCCATTGTGAGACAATAAAAAGGATTTTCTATTCTATTCTAATTCCAGGTTCTAAGTCACACAGGGGAAACACCAAGGGGGTTGAATACGTTTACTGGTTACTATGTCCCGTTTAATACTGTGAAAAAAAAGCCGTCTTATTTATGGTTTCTCTTTCCCTTCCTTCTATTCATCTACATTTCATTTCTCATCTCATCCAGTTGCTGTATTTAATGTTTTTACTGTTTTGAGGATTCCATTTGTAGTCTTAGAAAACTCCTACATATGATTGTAATAAAGAGGTCTGGGACTTTTCTCTACAGTTTGGATAAAAAAAAAATTGAACAATGTATTTCTAAAGAAAAGCTATATGTTTTAAGTTTAAAAGTTGAATGTGTTTGTGTCTAGGAGGGACGTCACGTGCTAGTGGAATGCTCCTTCACTACAAACCTATGGGCTCCCTGGATGCCCAGCAACTACAAATGGAGGCAGCAGAGGACAAGAAGGTGGCCTCGTTGTGGCTTGCCGCAATGCATAAGGTACCGTACAGAGCATTGAAAAATACAGCCACTCCACATGCTTGGTGTATTATTGTAAATATATTTAAACAGTATTTAAAGCAGGGTTGGGTAACTCCAGGCCTCAGCAGCCAGTGTCCTGCAACTTTAAAGGAAAAGTCCGGTGTAGTATAGTATAGAATAATCAATAGATCATTATCTATACCTAAAACCTATATGTTTGCAGTGATTTAATGAATTTAGTGTTGATCAGTAAAAAAAATAAATAAGTAATTTTCGTCACAACCACTGAGTCTGGGACCAGCCGTTTTTGTCCAAACATAGGAACACCTCACTCCTGACATCTTCCGGCAGTGACATCACGGTGCGGTAAGCCTAGCGCCATTCTCCCCGCTTTACAAGCAAAATCAATGGGAACTACTAGACACATCTGCAATCAACAATTATTGAAGATTTCCAGAGGACTTCACCATTGAAATTCACCAGAACTATATTTATTGCTAAACTTGCAAACCGGGGTGATGATGTAATGATGATATCATCAATCTGAGGCCAATCTCATTAAATCTCTTCAGGGAAAGGAGGAACATTCAGCACAACCTTCAGAGCTCATTGAGCAAAGCGACACCTAGTGGCCGCTTACCAAAGTTTGGTTTTAGCCAATAAAATGAAATGGCTGCAGACACCATGAGAAACATGGAATCAGATGTGATTGCAGCGGCCATAAGTACGCCCTCCTTTGCTACCATGTTTATTATGGCTGTATGTCCTCCCTTAAACACAGTACTGCAGCTTTATTAGCTGGCTCATTTTTGCTCGGTCTGCAACGGTGAAAGTGGGACAAGATGGATTCTTGTGTGTTTGTGAAAAGACGTATATGGCAAGGACTAATTTTGTAGGGAAGGTTGCTGGTCTGGATGCATGAGTTGATAATCATGTTTCTTTAGTGGCCTGGAGCGCCGCCATTGAGGAAAGCTTATTTTGCTGTCTTTGCCATTTGTTGCATTTTTACTTTGCATGTGTTTTATATGTTGGTTCAGATTTCTATACTGGCTACACTTGAATGTATTTGTAGTGTGTTTTCACCCCTCAGCCATCATACTATTAACCTTTACTGCTTCGTGATTCGCTGTCAGCCTAACAAACATTAGATCAATTTCAGGTATTCTTTTTATTTTCATTAAAACTTTTACCGGAAGCTTTTATAGATGCACTTTGTGAATCTGGATGATAATGTCACATTTTTAATTAAAATGCTTAAGAATAAGAAATTTATGACACAGATATTGCAGAAAGATGTTGGACAAATAAGGAGTGACCAACTGTGATCAAACATGTGCTTCTACTGATGTCCGTCATCGGAGGAGTGGAGTTTTTAGAAAGCATAAGAAATTTAAATAGTAAATATTTCTTCTTTGTTACAGGCGGCCAAACTGCTGCATGAAGCTCGGGACCAGTGACGCCCCGCGCTAAACGTCAAAGCAACGAGCACCCAAGTGTTTTAAAGCCGACTTGGATTTAGATCGGATTTGGTTTCATTCAGATTTTACTATCAGTTCTGATTGGATTCATCCATCTGATTTTTCTCATCGGTTCTTTGTACCAGTACTTATCTAAGTAATTTTTTCTCAAGAAATCTTTCGTAAAGGAAAAAAATAGCACTTCACTTACCTCTATAACCAGTGCTCTTTACATCTGTAGGTTTATTGTGTATTTTCTAAAGGTTCAAGGCTCCTTTTGGATTCTGTTCACTAATTTGAGCATTTACTAAAAATGCTTTTTAAATACTAGCAAAACTTGCTAACTTTGAAGGATTTAATACTAAGACCTCAGTTTTTTTTAAAGAAAGATATAGAAACTGTTTCTTAATTTAGTTCAGAGATATTGAATGCTTCTATTTCTTATTTTTATTTCAGACGAGCAAGGATTATACAACCAAGTATTTTTCTTTAAAGATTATCTTTCGGTTCCAGGCTTATAAGCACATTAAACTATGGATGCACCTTAACAATTGTTGCACAGGTTAAAAAGAAAACAGTTAAATGCATTTCTTGGCATCAAGAAGCTTGTGGACTGAAATCTTGGCAAACCCTAAGAAAACAGTCCTAACTGCCCATCTTTTTGGTTTAATTATGCCGAGTTATTTTTATTATTTTCTGTGTTGTTTTCTGATATCCTTTTAAATTACCAGTGTATTAATCAGTGTTTTGGTTTGTTTTGTAAAGCTGTGGCCTGCCTGTACCAAAACAGTAAGGTTATAGTCTATGAAAACAAAGCATTCCAAGTATTTTGTAGGATGTTGTATGTCCTATGAGTGTTTTAATTTGAAAGCCTTCCTGTTATCTGCTTAAAGTTCCTGCTCTCTGGAAACATGAATGAACCTTCAAACATGTTGAAATCTTCAGTTTTTTAATGGCTTTGTTTTTTGAAAACTTCAATGTAACTGAAGAAGTTTAACTTTGAATCTTTACTCTGTAACAAACTTCCACCCTTAACACTTTATGTTGACCCGGAGGTGTGTTGTGTTAGAGAGTTGATGTTAGACTGTTCTAACTTTGCAAGTTAAAGTAGAAAATCCCACTTTGGGGTTTTGAAGGAGATAAGACAAGTGCTGAGAAGTAAAAACTAATAGTGAGCAAACAAATGTTGAAACGTGTTGTCCGTTAGCTGCAAGGTGCATACTCTGTTTTAACGAACTGTTTAAGAATGTCTTGTAGGGGTCAGTGAGAAGCAGCCAAAAAGGAGTGTAAAATGCTTTAGCCTGGTAGAAAAAGGTATTTTTATAATAAGGAGATTTTCTGGATAAGATTAAATCCAGAAAAGGAATCAGAGCGTCACAACTTTGTCTGGTTTCCCATAGACGGATGTTACTTTGTGTTTTTATTTTTTTCCATTTATGAAAAAAATGTTTGACTAATTTGTACTCATATCTGCAACAGTTTTAGTGACCAAAGTGGTGTATAAACAAATAGTTTAATTATAATTTTATTGATTATTCCTGCTTTAATTTTGAGCCTGACCATCATTGTGTTTTACCTGGTTTGGACCCAGTTATTTGTTTTGCTGTAGCTTCTCAAATCTTATTTCAATTTGTTGTGTGAAACCATCCGTCTTTCATACTTTAGTTCTGTATTGTAAAAGACACTGACACAAAACATCTGAAAATGGACCTACCATGATTCATTTCATTTGAGAGCAAAGATTCACTCACAAAACATTGATATTTTGAAATTTTTATTTTAAGTGCATTAATGAATGTGTTATTTAAGGAAAAGTGAAAAGAAAATTCATGTTGAAAAAGCATGGATTCATAACATCTAGAAGAGTTCTGTAAATGAACACTAAATTGAGACTGTCAACTAGTAACTAGCATCTGCAGCATCTTTTTAAAATTATCCCTTTCGTCCCATTATATAATATATATATTATATACCTTACCTTATATATATATATATATATATATATATATATATATATTCAATTCAGTTTATTCATATAGCGCCAATTCACAACACATCTCAGGGCACTTTACAATTCACCTGATCATACATTCAAATTGATTCAAAGTTCTAAGGAAAACCAGTTGATTACATCGACTCAAAGGCAATCCCTCACACTTGTAGCGACAGTGGAGAGGAAAAACTCCCTTTTAACAGGAAGAAACCTTCAGCAGAACCAGGCTCAGTGTGAGCGGCCATCTGCCGAGGCCGACTGAGGTCAAGGAGACAGAAGCAGAGATTCTTAACCCAACTTTCAACCAGCTACCCAGGCGGCCCTTGACCAAAATGCGTTTTTCCGAGGGCTTGAAGTTAAGCCATCAAAATTACAGCCCTGGTCCGCCTCAAAAGGTCTTTACAAAGAAGAGCCCAACAACCTGTAACCATAATAAAAATGTTGGGGATATATTGGAGCATAGTTATCTGTATTCCCAGCTGCCTGCCCTGGAAGCACACATGGAGTGAAGGGCATGAAATGGGGCTCACTGTTGCATCCTTTTTTGCAGAACTGATTTGAAAAAAATTATTTAATTTTTTTATAAAAATTATTTAATTTTTTTATACATTCAGTATCTCATTTTCTGTGTTTGTAGATCAGCTTTGTTAAATCTTCCTGAACTTGCTCTGAAGTGACCTAACAGCAGTGGTCCTTTTGTTTACCACAGTACACCAATAAAACTGCACACATCTAATCCATATCAAATAGAAACACCAATCAGATTTCTAATCTGGATTTTTTTTTTCTTTTTTGTAGATTCCAATTATTCTTTCAAAATTGTCAACATTTCTCAGTTTCATTGCTGAAAAGATTAATACTTTTATAAGTGCACAATGTTTCCAATACTAGAGTTTGTTGCTATAATGGTTTTGACTCAATGATTCTTATAGGTGAATAGGTATGTCTTTTATTCATTACAGCACAAAGTTGGTTTGCAAAATGTTAACTGGATTCTGCCTTTGTCTCATGGCCTAAAAACAGTTCACCAGCTTTCTTAGTCACTTTGATTTGATTTTTATTTTCTTCTGAGCAATAACATTTGTTGTACCATTGAGAGGCAGGATATTTTCCTTCATTGTAAAGTCTTCCCTTGAGTTCACAGTCCTATAAAGTTGTGAAGTAATTAAAGGAAGCTGTTTAGATATCCCTATTATGGTCTTACTAGCTGTAAGATGCAGTCTCTCCATCTAAAAAATGGTTATAAAGAATAAACTGTACTGAAATAAATGTAGTTACAGACACAGCAGTCTCTGGATTATGATCCATGATGTATTTTAAAACATGTTAAGCATTTTAATATAAACTGCCAGTGTATCTGTATTTGATTTATAGTGCACTAAGTACACTGCCTGTTTTTTTATGTTTTTTGCTGATAATTTCACCTCTTGTTGGCCTTTTCTGTTCAGAATAAAATAAAGTTTTTCTACATACTATAAATGTTTTTGTCAATGGAAAAGAGGAAAGAACATTGCTGTAGTGTAACTTGGACAACATTTATTGTCATTTTGCATAATCAGAGCGTATACAAAACAAAATTTCATTTTGTACAGCTCTCATTACATTTCAATTTCTTAAAGTGCAGCAGTGATCAGATGTAAACATTGTGGGAGGAAAAACACAGTGGAAAAGAATGCATTAATATGGACAGTTTGATACAGAGTCTGCGACATTATTTAGAGTTTGTTTTCAACATTCAGCTGTCTGATGGCGATTGGGAAGAAGCTGTAATATTGGCAGACCAAGACAAGTTTGATAAAAATTTATAGATGTTTCAGTTAGATTTAAACAAAACAATAACCATTCAGATGTCAGCGTGCCCCACAACAGCTGTGGCTACACTTTAGCTCTCAACCAGTAGTGCGTGACTGTGTGTGTGAGCTGCTGAATGTAGTGCTGGGGGGATTTACCAATATGCATTCCTAGGCAGTTGCCTAGAGCCCCAAGTTCCTGGGGGCCCTATAGAACTCTGTTTAAATATGTGGTTATTATAACTATTCCTTATTTGTGCACATAATTATGTTTTTGATAAAAATTCTTTCACTAAAATGCCATTAAAACCACATTGGATCAGTCCATTTGCTGCACATGTTCAGAAAGGTCCAAACAAGCAGCAAAACATATGAACACGATGCGAAGAGCAGTGTGACCCACTTAGTGCTTTTGTCGCTATATTTGGTGACATTTCGACCCCTTTAGCAATTTTATTTCAAAAAAGGGCCTAGTGCCAAATCTAATGACTTTTTTCTGCTACTGGAGACTTTGGCGACAACCTATAAAAGTAGCGAACTCTGCTCTCCAGAGCAAGTAGATTTGTAACCCCGCCTCCTACTCTCCTGTCTTGTCTGCTGTCATGATTCATGCAGCTGTTATTTTATCCAAATAAAAAATGGAGAACAGATAAACAGATCATGGCCTGACTGCAGTGAAAAGAAGGACTGTGTTATTTACTTTTGCTGTTGCCTTTTTGGAAACACAGGAAGGAGCAATCAGCTAAGTGAGCTTGGTGCTTGGAAAAAATATTAGTTTCCTTTTGAGAAAAAATGAAAAGTCAGCTGAATACAAAATATAGAGAAGAAAACAAGAAAAAGGGAATAGAAGAGAGGGGCAAAACGTAGAACAAATAATGGATGTCTATATTCTAATACAATTTCTGTATCTTTATAATGGGTCTGTTTTATGTGTACTTCTTCTTTCTTTTCTTCTCAATTCATAGGGCCCCTTGCCTGTCTTTGCCTAGGGCCCCAAATTTTCTAAATCCTCCCCTGATGTAGTGTAAAGGAATTTGGGTTTTCTTTAAAGCTCTATAAAAGCACAGGCCATTTACCAGGAACATTCCAGATAAAACTAAATTCAACTAATCCTACAGGCTAGATTAGTTTTTACATTCTGAGAGATTTGGAGAAAGATGTTTGGAAACAATGTATGGAAGAATGGAAATATTGCAAAATAACCAATAAACCCCTCCCAAAAACAAGACTACAAAATGTGAAGGTGTTGCAAACTTACATAAATCTATCTGGAAGATTAGTAAAGTTGGAGTAAATAATTAATAATAGATGTATGATTTAATTTGATTTTTTTATTTAAATATACCGGGTTATTTAAAGTGATGAAGGAAGTTGGAATGTGCCAAAACAGTATAGGGATAACTGTGATTAACCTATATATATATTTTTTGTACTAACACCATTATTTCCTAAAACTTTTTAAATAACATGCTGCTTGTAATATTGAGGCAATAATTTATAAATTTAATAAAGCCCTGTTGTTATTGCAGCAGTTATTTAGCCCACACAGCCCCCCCTCTCTCATCGGTTGGTATCGCCCGAACTCCCAGGGCATCGGACACACGTGGTTGCTGTTATGTTGGGGATTGCGCCGGTATTTCAGTATTTCAACCTTTAAGTGAAGTGTCATCGCTCGGATATCTTCACATGCGATTCAAGCTGCTATAAGAAAGTGTGAAAGTCAATTTTAGACTTTCAGAGTTTAGGTTTCACGGAGTCTGACGTCGTCCTGGCGTGACGTTACGCTGCTCGTCTCGGACACCAGCGGGCTGAAGCTGAAGGTATGGAAACACTGTGGCTGTTAGGGCTCACACAGCTTCATGGAGTTACACCGTTTACCGATGTTCAGCTTTCTGCGCCTCTTTAGCCTCCCCCACCCAGCTGTCACCGCCTCCCGTTAACTCCTCGCTGATTCGTAACGACCACCCAAACACAAAGCAAACTAAGAAAAACATCTAAATAACATCTGTTTTCATCCAACCATCCTCTCCAGGGTGGTTTGTTGGCCGGTAGAAGCGAGGGAGGGGGATGAAGGTCTGTGCCACGTCACTGATGATGAAGATGAGGGGTGTCCTGTCCCTGCCGAGTCACTCCTTTCTCTCTGTAGCGTCATAATATGCTGGAAACCGTTAATCTAATCGGAATAAAGACAGATTAGACCCTTATAATGTAAATCACTTGCTCAGACATGTGAAGGTTTTGCCAAAAACTGATCATCTCCACTCTTACAGGTTAAACTTTGGACAGTAAAACAATAATAATCCAAAAAAGAGACTGAAATGTGTCTGTGAAAGACTTTTGTTCAGGTTTGTCTACCTTGAAGTCCAACAGCTGCAGAGACTGCTGATCACTTTTTGGCAGAGCATCCCTTAAAGGTACAACACCAGCCCCAGTATGGGGCGGATTTAGGACATTTGGGGCCCTAGGCAAAGAGGGATAGGAGGCCCCCTGAATTGAGAACACATAAAACAGACAAGGGCGGATCTAGATGGGATCCAGGGGTGGCCATGGCCACCCTTAACCATTCATTGGCCACCCCTACCATTGCTTTCCGCGTAATAATCAAGTGGAATATTTAAAAAATTATTTTTTTTTCTTCATATATTCACAATTGTTTGACAACAAAAATGCTGTAGTTAATTCTGCACATCAATATACTAACTTTAAAGGTGGTAAGTACAGATTTCATGCTCTTTTCAGAACAAGATTTTGTGTTTTATGGGCTAAAGAGAAAATATGTCATCTAGGAGTCTTTAGTGAAATCATAGATAAATAACTGTTTTTAATAAAAACGTATTAAATAATCAATTTATGTAGATATTAGTACTTGTAAATATCAATTTTATGCTGGATGATTATTGATAAAAATAGGTAAATAATGACAATGTGGAAAAGATTTTATCCACTTCACCTTTTATCTAAAAAGCATGAATGTTTAAATATATGCATCTATTTGTTAGCAAAGGCTGTAGGAAAGTATAATTGGTTGTTATTCAGAAAATATGGATGTTTTGCTCGTTCATTTTCCTGTTGGAAAAGTAGAGATCGACCCTGAGTTTTTTATTTATTTTTATAATTTAAACTTTATTTAACCAGGAACTGATCCCATTTTGATTAAAAACCTCTTTTTCAATGGAAACCTGGCCAAGAGGTGGCAAAGTTACATCAGAAACATAGATGCATTAAAATAAATGACAGGTGCATAAAAACATATCAATTAAAAGAGTTACAGATTATTGAGGCTGCTTCAAATTCTTTCACTTTCAACTTAAAAGCATTTAAAGATAAAAACTCAGTCAATTGGTTCTGCTGCCTATTCATTTCAGCCACCCCTCAGTGTACGCTGGTTATTGCCTGGCCACCATTATTAAAAAATTCTGGGTATGCCCCTGAAAACAGACCTATTATACAGACAAAGAACTGTTTATAGAATAGACAGACATAATTTTTTCTGCGTTTTGTCCCTCTCTTATCCCTTGTTGTTTTCCTCTATGTTCTTTTGTCCTTTTTTTCTTTTCACATTAGCAATATTTGCAGCTGGCATTTTTCATGCTGTCTTAAAAGGAATCCATTTTTTTTTTTTTTTTATCACTAAGCCTATTCTAACTTAGCTGATTGCTCCTTCCTGTGTTTCCAAAAAGGCGACGGCAAAAGTAAATAACCCAGTCCTTCTTTTCACTGTAGACAAGCCATGATCTGCTGATCTGTTCTCCATTTTTAATTTGTATGAAATAACAGCTGCATGATTCATGACAGCAGACAAGATAGAGGAGAGCAGGAGGCGGGGTTACCAATCTACTTGCTCTAGAGAGCAGAGTTCGGTGCTTCTATATGTTGTCGGCAAAGTCTCCAGTAGCAGAAAAAAGTTGCTAGATTTGGCGATAGGCGCTTTTTGGTTCTAGAGGGTTCTGAAAAGTCGACAAAAGCACTAAGTTGGCAACACTGCTCTTTGCACAGTTTGTTTTCAAATGGTTTGCTGCTGTTCGTTTGGACCTTTCTAAACATGTGCAGCAAATGGACTGATCCAATGTGGTGGACACTGAAGGGGGGGTGAGATGCACTTAATATTATAAGTATTCTGATGGCATTTTAGTGAAAGGATTTTTATCAAAACCATAATGTGCACAAATAAGGAATAGTTGTATTAACCATACATGTAAAGGGAGTTTTTGGGACCCCCTACCAGTTATAGAGCTATCACCCTAGCATTAAGAGTGACTATAATGTAAAAAAAAAAAGCATATCAATAAAGGGAAACCTCTGATACAGCTTTGTCTTTGTCTAAGGATTACTTTTTGGAAATATGGTTTAGATATTTCCCCCAACTGCAGGTTTTGACACAATCTAGGGATCAAACCAAGTAAAGATGAGAATCTTATAAATTTCCTTTCATTTCCAATCCTGCTTGGGGTGTGGTTATTGTCAAAGTTGTGGTTTTATGGAAATACACTGTACATTTGATTATTTGGCTTTACGTTAGCAATGACTCCAGAGCGAAGGTGTTTAAACAGGGCAGCTGTCTCTGCTTTTAACTTGCATTAGCATTGAAAGGTTCTTTAAGGTTTTTTATGGTGGAATTTGCCTTTGAATCGGTGCATAAAAGGATAAAACGCTCAAAGCATCATAAATTTGTATACATTGATACATGATTTTTTTTTTTTCAATAATCAGAGACTGTTCCAGCATGAGTGGAGAGTTCTTGCTCCATGCAGTATACAGTAACCCATCAGCCCCCCTCCCCTACTTGTTATAGCTAACTTTTGGCCAGCTTGTAAAAAAAAAAAAAAAAAAAAAAAAAAAAAGTAAAGCTCTGTAGAAATATTTACATAAAAAAAAAAAAAAAGAAGGAATCAACTCTGGAAACCACCAATGACTGTAATGAGGCTATGCTGCCCTAATAAAAGACAGCTTTAAATCCAAACCCAGCTTGATGTTAGTAAATGATGGCGTTCTAGTTTTTGTGTTGCTAGTAAAGTTAACCTGGCCTTTATTTCTGAATTTCAACATAGTTTAGTCGCATTCTGTCATCTAACTGCATTCAGCTGTGTTCAAACTAATAAATGATTGTTGTTATCTCTAACTCAGACACCCACAGGCTAAGCTGTGAGCCCTAAGGGGTTTCTGTCACACACCAACATATTTCTTATTTTATTGATTTATTCTGAGCTTCTATTTTGATTTGTGAAAATAAATCTAAATTTTTGGACCCCATCATATCCGGCGGCATCAGGAGTGTTATAACGATAAACGCTTGTTGTTGCTTTTGTCAGCATTCATAAACCTTCATACTGGGAATATTTCTGTTTTTTTTTTACAAATCCCAGTCTAGGAATAAAGTAAGAATAGAATGGAGTAAAATTAATTCCAAAATGATAAAAAAAAAGGCTAACTTCAAATAAAATTGGAAATTCTCACATTGAGTGTTTAGATTTAAATATTTAAATAAAAGATTAAATTCAGGAAGGGTTTTCAAAATGTAAATGGTATGCATATATATATATATATATATATATATATATATTAGAAAATGGCTACTGTGGATGGCTGGAGCAATGAAAAGACAAAAAATTTATCTTTTTTTTTATTATGTTTATTGGGTATTTTGAACATTTACACAAAGAACAGGGAAGAAAAAAAAAAAAAAAAAGAAACAGGACAAAACCTATACAGCTCTGATACAGATAACGAAACCGAAGGGAATGTGCATAAATTAAAGCAAACATTTGAGAAAAGTCACCAATTTATACATAAACTTGTACATATACATCCTTCCGATTCACATCACTCTTTTTTTAATTTTGAAGTATTTGAAAGTGTAGAATTTCCAATTCAGACGGTATCTTAATCTCTCTAATCCAATAACTTCAGAAAGTAAGTTTTCCATAGCTGGATTGAAGGGGCTTCACAGCTAACCCATATAAGCATTATCAATTTTTCTGGCCAACGTCGATAGGAATTGCACAGTCTCTTTGCGAGGGTTAGGGTTAAATTTTTGTATTTAAAAAAAACTAGACTTGACATTCTCATGTTTTTTTGTTTTTTTTTTCAGCTTTTGTGGTTTGCAGAGCCAAACCATGAGCTCTAAGGTGTGTAAGCACTGCGGCAGCTCGGACATCGATGTTGACCAGGCGAGGGGCGATGCGGTCTGCATGGGCTGCGGCTCCGTGCTGGAGGACAACATTATTGTGTCTGAGGTGGAGTTTGTGGAGTCGGGCGGAGGCTCTCTGGCTGTCGGACAGTTTGTGTCTTCAGAAGGTGAGAGTGATTCCGAAATGTCGGTTTCTGCATGCCTTCCCGCAGCTTTGTTGGAAATCCTTGCTTTGTTTTATACAGCTTAGCCTTGATCGTATCTGCAAACATTATCAAGAGGACTATTTCATGCAAGCAACTAAAACCATCGAAAAAAACCTTAAATGTGCTACTGACATGATTGAAAGCACTTAAAGGAGCACTGGAGCATAAAGGTAAAATTGTTAACCAGAGAAAAGAGCAAGAAAAACTTGAATATAATTGTAGCCGTGTTTTACAATGATCATCAAATTGTGTATTTTGACATAAGAAAAAAAAACATTTGACAAAATTTTTGCGCTGGGACAATGTGGTTTTTCAGCTTTATCAAAAGATGAAAACATAACAGAAAGTAATAGGTAATTTATCCTGTAAACAAACTTCACGTTTGATTTTATTTTTTATAACTGTTCTGCATACAGGCTAATTTCGTTACCTCCACCCTTACTGCCAGTATCTTCAGACATCATTATTGTGGCGAAGGTGATGCTTTGATATCTCCAGTTGTAGCCACAGGCCCTTTAAACGCTACCGCACACTAAGGACCATTGCAGCTGCCAGGGGCCTGTTTCAATAAGGAAGTTCAACCAACTCTGAGTTAAAACTTGAACTCTGAGTTGACTTATCCTGAGATGGAAACTCTGAGTTTTGGGTTTCAGAACAGCTGAAATGAGTTAGTTCAATCAACTCTAAATTGACTGACTCTGAGTTAACCGCGTGCACCACAACTATAAAAAGCCATTATCAATGGAGCACAGATATTATGAGTCACCATGGCAACAGCGTCAGACACAAAAAGGTGTGCATATTTCTCACCAGCAGAACTGGATGTGCTTATGCAAGCATATGCAGAATTTGAACATGTATTTAAAAAAAAAGGCAACACGGCTGCAGCGGCGAAGGAAAGAGAGTTAGCTTGGGTGAAAATAGCTGCTAGAGTCAATGCGTAAGTTTACATTTTAATTACTTTTATACAGTGTTGGGTGTAATGAATTAAGTTACCTAAGTCATATAAACACTGTAATTAAATTAAAGACTATAAAAAAATTGTGGATTTAATATCAAATTTTTAAAAGGTATATTTTGATTTGAACTTTCTCCCTCTAGTTACACACTTTGGTCAATTTAAGATTAATTCATGCAATTGAATATTGTTTATTTGAAAGCATTAGAAGTGCAGTTTCTTGTCTCTCCTTGTATTGTTCAAGTGGTTGAGGTTGATTTGGGATTTAGAAAGTAATTAATAAGTAAGTAAAACAAATTAGTAAGTAGACCAATACTTTCTAGAGACAGTAATTATTACATTAATCTAATTAGACTTGTTGAAGATAAAATTTGTAGTTAGTAATTAACTGTTATAATATCAGAGGTGAAACTGGAAGAACAGTATTTTATTAAACCTAATTTAGTTTTCATGGATAGGTGCAATCCTGCAGGCATCAAAAGAACATGGCAGCACCTGAAAATGAAATATAAAAACATACTTCAAGCAGGTAAGCCTTGAGCACATCATGGGAGTAGAGTAGCTACCTGGCTTTACAAACAGGATCATCCATAAAAGGACATGCCATTTCATTCCCTTTGATGCGCTCTACGTGACTGAAATGTGTGCAATGAATACTGTATGTCCCCAAAGAATCAATGAGGTGTTTAAACACCTTCTTCCTCTTTAAAAAAGGGGAGGAGACCAAAATAAATTCTGGATTTTCTGAAGAAAACCTACTCCAGACCAGGTTAGGTTCACAGAGTAAATTGCCATGGTAACTGACTCTGAGTTTAAGTTACCTCTCTTTCAGAAACGGGCTTGACTTACTCTGCTTTCTCAGGTTTAACTTACCTCCCTTTCTGAAACAGAAAACACAGAGTTTCCCTCATTTCAGGGTTAACAAACTCAGAGTTTTCACTTAACCTCCTTTCTGAAACAGGCCCCAGATTTGCTCAGGTCCTGCGCATTCCAGTGACCTTGCGCTACATGATTGGCTGAACGTTGCCACATGATGAAGAGCTCAGTCTTAGAACGCAGTACTTTCCCTCAAGACTGACAATGATTGTTTTCTACTTTAGGTCACCAATGAAATGTTAAATAAAAGCAGTGGAGTTGCCATATGTTGACGTCATAAGAAGGGGTGGGGCCCCGAGCAGATCTGGTACCAACACTGTCCCAAAGCGCATAGTGGTAGAGGGAGTGGACCTTTCAACCCTTAAAAAGCAAGTCTGCAGCAGTAGTTTGCTGTGTCTTTGTCAAACGTACAGAAGATCATAAGTCAGAAAAAAGGAAAAAAAGAGATGTAATTAATTCCAATTAATCCCATTTTTATTGGACTATATAAATGTATCTTAAAAAAATTGGCCAATTTTGGATTTCATATCAGCACTTTGAAGTTTTTCATGTGTTTTGGAAAATGACGGAGCTGACGGATTTATGGAATCACTAACGCCCCATTTAAAGTAGGGTAGAGTGGGGATGGTTGGATCAGAATTTACATTTCTATCAATTTCTCATGGGTTATGAAATGATTTGTAAAAATGAAACTAATACCTCGCAAGTTGCAAGATGTGGAAGCTTAATATAAAGTAAGCAGCATGAGGTTGAAAGGAGTTTGTTAAATATTTCAACCGTCTGTTGCAACGGTGATCTTTGCAACCTGCGCCACAGAGCTGCAGCCAGGCATGGGTGTTTCTGTGTTGCCATAGCAATGACTGCTTGGGCTGGGCCCTAGAATGAGGAGCAAGGTTTTGTTTTTTGTATGCCCTCTATTGTTGCGTTTTTTTTGTTTTTTTTTTATCATATACTAATGCTGTCATAATAATAATACATTTTATTTAACAGCGCAGTCATGTTACTGAGTTGTATTTAGCCAAGTTGTCCTGATGGAAAAGTGCCATCCTAGATTGTCATGTAACCAAAAATCCACCCGTGTGGTTAGAAAAGGGAGGTTGATTAATTAATCAATTAGGTTTTGTCTATTGAAGTGTCGTACATCATATATGGTGTCCATTAAACAAAAATCACAGCCAAAGACAAACATTTACAAAAGCCGTGTTGCAAAACAAATTTGCATTAAAGAGAATATAAAGCTCTCTGAACCGTTTATTAAATGAAGCAGCCTGCAGTAAATAAACTGCCAGAAAGCAGAAAGCAGACTCAGGGCTTCCAGCGGTTTTCCAAAGTTTGCTTCCTTCCGAGGTTGGCTGAATTCAATAACTTGTTTCCCTTTTAAACAATTATCATGAATGGCATTTCTAACAAGCTGTTGTTGCTTGCTGTTGGTGTGGGAAACTGTCTTTGTCATTTGCATTGTTTATTATTCATATTATATTTTTTAATGAAAAATATTTCCCATTGGTGTAATTAATAATAATTTATTTAAGTTGCCAGAATCTTATTTGATGGGGCAGTAGAGTAGAATAATGGATGGACAGGGGTGCTGGCCCAAAAAATTTGGAATTAACCAGTGTAGGCTTAAGCTACCATAAAATTATTTCTGGGACAAGTGTTAATCTTTTAATAATAACGATTAGCACTTATCAATTTGAAAATTTCTGTTCCCTTTTAATGCATGTAGTTGAGCAATTCCAGCACTAGATGGTGCTGTAGCATCACAATGTCAGGTTCTGGGGTTTGAATATTAGATTATCCAAGAATAAAAGAAGCGTCATTGTTTTTATTCAATACTAGTTTAATCGTGTGAATGTTTACTGGATTACATGACAAGACAAAAATAGATGAGGGGGAAAAAAAAGAAAAAGTAGAGTAGTTCTGCAGTTTGGACTTATTTTTTTCTCACATAGTCTTTATCTTCATTTAGGTGGAAATAAGAATCCATCTTTTGGGGATGGATACTTCCCGGGTACTGGATCTGAGTCCAGAGCTCAAACACTGCAGAGAGGTGAGTGACCAGCTGTTTGTGAGAGATAATCATCTGAAGTCACTCCATGTTTCTGTGGTTTTAACTTTTTATTTAGAAGTTAAACTATTCTCTGGAATCTTCTGTGACTGATGAGAGATTGTGACCATTTCTCAATATGTGTACTTGTGCGTTCTCATGTGCTTATGCACTCCAAAAACGTCATCAGCCCTAGTACTGTTCCAATTCACAAGAATAAGAAGACCGAGAGTGGACAAAGTCCCCAGATGTTGTTCTCGCCCCTCCCTTTTGCAGAGTATGCATCAGAGCAGACTTGTCTGTTCTAGAGATTGACAGCTTCCAGGGGAGCGCTCACAGAGCTCAGAGTATAAAGTTAAAAGTTCTCTTTTCTGTTGTCATTGTTCTATAAAAACATGTTTTTGGATCATTTGAAGAGAGAACATACTTTTAAGTGTTACTATATGGTCTATTGGAGCCAAATATGTGTATTTTTTGTTTCTTTTTATTTATTTATTTTTTTGTTTGTTTTGTTTGTGATCACTAGATGGGGCTGTCGGCTCCAGTATATAAATGAAGAGATGACAGGTAATTGACAGGTGTTGAATCCGGAAGGGCATACAAGTTTTTGACCGCTGTGGCGGAGTCGTTGTTATCCCTGTGGCCGTGCATTGTGGAATAAATGATTTTTTATGCACAAAATGGTTCATCTGGCTGGAACAACTTATGTACTGCAAGAGGATCGTTTGAATCACGTTTACACGCGATCGACAGGTACGTTAGCCGCCAGGCGCGTCATAACAAGCAGCAACGGATCAATGCAAAATAGTGCAGTGTGAAACTGGCTATAATACTGTCAAAAACTTGCCCTTTGTTATTCGAACTTTGATGAACTGCGATGTCTTTGAACAAAGTAATGGAGACTACGTGGAGCAGACTGAGACAGTTTGGGCTGAGATGAGCTGGTGTTCGTCACTTGGACTATTGCTACAAGAGCTTAAGCATCAGGCTGCGGCCGCTGCAGCAACGGATCATATGGACGCGGTGACAGTCAGAGATTGAGGAGGATCAGATCGCTGGATGGAGTTCCTGGACCTTTGAATGTCGTCGTGGATTGGATCACGGAATGTCAACAGGCGCCCAACGAGGTATGTGTAGCGCTACACCTTGATGGCCTTCTTTTTTTGTTTTTGTTTTGTGTGCACACATTAAAACCAATGCATTGGTAACTGCGTCGTTTAAATAATAATTGGGCATACCTCTTTGCGTTCGAGGCTCATTTATTAGTTGTTGTTCGCGCGTTCTTCCAAGTGGACCCTTGCATTATGGAAATGGACAAAAATACTGAGATTGAACAGATGGCTACCGGTGGGGAAACTCAAAAACGTACTGTTAAATTAACAGAAAAGGCCTTGGCTGAAAAACTTGAAACATTACAAAAGGAACGAAAATCAAAATTAAACAAAACGGGTAATATAAGATATGAAATTCATGATTTAATGTCTAAAGGTGAAAGAACAAAAGTTTTAAGTGCTCTTGATATGTTGATTAAGTTGTGTGATGATGCTAAATGTTTGCATGAGTCTTTTTTGGGTTTTTTGCCACATGATGAAAAAGAAAATCATGAAGTATGGTTTAAAGCAAAAATGATTTCTAATAATGAGTGTATTTCTAGTGTGAATAAGTGGCTCTCTCAAACTGAAATGAGCAAAAATGATGATAATGATGATGACGATGGTGTAAATCCCACTGACAGTGTGTCAAATGTTAGTGGACATTCACAAAGGAGTGTTAATTCCAGCATCACTTCATCTGTAAAGTTAAAGGCAGCAGCCAAAAGGGCTTCAGTTTTGGCCCGTGTGAAGGCTATAAAGGAAAGACATGCTATTGAAGAAGAGGAGGAAAAATTGAGGAAAAGAAAAGAGATGCTTGCACTGGAAACTGAGTTGGCTGAATCTGACTTGCAGATGGAGATGTATAAAAAGCTGGAGTGTTCCTCACAAACTTCAAACTCAGTGAGCTCATACTATAAAAAGAAAACAAAGGAAAAGGGATTGAAACAAAGTTTGGACCCATCTGTAAAAGAGTTTCTTCCTAAAAATGAAATTGAAAATCCAACAACTCAACAGGATGGTGTAAACCAAATTAAACAAAGAGATGAACTAAAATTGGCATCAAAGGAAAATAAATATATGGATGTAAGATCAAAGAGAACCACAGCAACAAAACAGTACCCTGTTGGGAGTCCACATAACAAGAGTACAACCCAACCATCTAACAGTTTACAATTACCTGAAGAACTTCTTACCATTATGAGCAGACAAACTGAAATCACAGCAGCCTTAGTAAAGCAGCAACGGAGTATGACTCTCCCACCACGGGACATTCCTGTTTTTGATGGTGATCCTTTACAATACAAAGCCTTTATTAAAGCCTTTGAACAAGGAGTTGAAACCAAAACAACTAATGCTGACTGTTTGTACTACCTCGAACAGTTTACTAAAGGTCAGCCTCATGAGCTGGTGCGCAGTTGTCAGCATATGGATCCCGATTATGGCTATACTGTAGCAAAGACTTTATTGCAAGAACATTTTGGAAACCCTTACAAGGTTGCAACTGCATATATTAACAAGGCTTTGTCTTGGACAACAATAAGAACTGAGGATATAAGGGCATTGCAGAGTTATTCTTTGTTTTTGCGTGGCTGCTGTAATGTAATGGAAGAGCTGGAGTATGTGCAAGAGCTTGACATGCCCGTAAATATGAGAGCAATCCTTGCTAAGCTGCCATATAAGTTACGAGAGCATTGGAGAAATAAGGCCTATGATATAATGGAGACAACTGGACACCGGGCAGGATTTAGTAATATGGTTGCATTCATTGAACGACATGTTAAGATTTTGTCAGATCCTTTTTTTGGAGAATTACAAGATTACGGGTTCAGTACATCATCCATTAGTCGTCAACGGCAACCTGGGATTAAGACCAAGGGGAATGTAGTGGCTAGCACTGTGACATCTGTAAATGCTTCAGGAGAGGTTGATCAGCAACATGCTGCAACTAGAGGAAGTGATTGCTGTTGTGCTTGTTGTTCAGAAGCCCACCCACTAGAAGAATGCAAACAATTTAAAAGAAAACTTCACAAGGACAAAGTTTTTCTGCTGAGAAGAAAAGGATTATGTTTTGGCTGTCTGCAGCGGGGCCACCTCAGCAGGAACTGTGAAGCACGATTAACTTGTGAAATTTGCAATGAAAGGCATCCAACTGTGCTACATATAAGAAGAGAAACAAGTTCTCCTGAGTCTGAAACAGAAATATCGGAATCCTCCTCAATTGTGAATGCAACTTGTGGCCATACAGGGGCCGGTAAGGATCGTGGAATGCTGTCAGTGCTCCCTGTAAAGGTTAAAGCAATAAAAGGACAATGCACCATCCAAACATATGCCTTCTTGGATCCAGGTAGCACTGGAACATTTTGCTCTGAAAGGCTAATGCATCAATTGAACCTCACTGGAAAGCGAACACAAGTGCTTCTTCGAACAATGGGCCAATCTAAAATAAGTCCAGCATTTTCTCTGTGTGATCTTGAGGTGGCTGGTCTTGAGAGCAATACATTTTGCCCTCTGCCAGAAGTTATCACACAGAGACAAATGCCTGTGACCAAAAATGATATGATAACATCAAAAGATTTAATAAAATGGCCATATTTGTCAAGCATTAAAATGCCATCTATAAATTCTGAGGTTGATCTGTTGATTGGTACCAATGCTCCAAGGTTATTAGAACCTTGGGAAGTCATTAACAGTAAAGATAATGGCCCATATGCTGTCAGAACTGTACTTGGCTGGGTAGTCAATGGGCCCTTGGATAGCAGTGGTGTTCAAGAAGATCCATCTGTAACAGTGAACAGAATTTCAGTGAACAAGCTGGAGGAACTGCTCAAGAGCCAGTACAATCATGATTTCTGTGAAGGATCAACTGATAAACAAGAAATGTCTAGAGAAGACCAAAAGTTTCTCAATATTATGGAAACATCTGCAGCAATACAGGATGGAAAATATTGCTTGAACCTGCCATTTAAAAGAATGGATGTCTGTCTACCAAACAATTTTGCAGTAGCCAAACAAAGAATACGAAGTCTCAGGAAAAGATTCATGTTCAATCAGAACTTTCACCAGGAGTATGTGGAGTATATGAACAACATAATTTCATGCAGGTATGCAGAACGTGTACCTGAGCATCTTTTGCATTGTGACAATGGAAGAATTTGGTACATTCCCCACCATGGGGTTTACCATCCAAAAAAGAGAACTTTACGAGTGGTGTTTGACTGTGCTGCGGTGTTTAAAGGAGTGTCCTTGAATAGTGAGTTGCTGCCAGGCCCCAACCTCACTAACACTCTGTTGGGGGTCCTTCTGAGGTTTAGAGAAGAGTCAATAGCCATAATGGGAGACATTAAAGCTATGTTTCATCAAGTACAGGTGCCAGAAGGAGATCGAGACTTTCTCCGCTTTCTCTGGTGGCCAGATGGGGACATTACACAGGAACCAGTGCCTTATAGAATGAAGGTCCATCTATTTGGAGCTGTCTCGTCCCCCAGCTGTGCAGCCTTTGCTTTAAGAAGAACTGCCCAAGACAATCAGAATGAATTTCCACCAGAGGTCATAGAAACTGTAAGACAGAACTTTTATGTTGATGATTGCCTGAAAAGTGCAGCCACAGAAGAGGAAGCTATCCATTTGATAAAAGATCTTGTTGCTCTGTGTGAAAAAGGAGGCTTCACATTGGAAAAATGGATAAGCAACAGTCGTGTTGTTCTGCAGGCCATCTCAGAAGAGCAGAGGGCTAAAGATCTGAAAATGTTGGATCTGGATATCGATAAGCTTCCAATGGAAAGAGCTTTGGGTCTGCAGTGGTGTGTGGAGACTGATGCCTTCCAGTTTAAGATGAAGCTGAACCAGCAAGCCCTGACCAGACGGGGAATGTTATCCGTGAATAGTTCTGTATATGACCCTTTGGGTTTC